GCCCAACCCACTTGTGCTTCGTCATTCCGCACACCAACTGCACCCCCCCCTTTCCAAAAAAGACGCCCCTCTCCCCTGTCAGACCCCCGGCTGCCTTGGCCCTGCCTTTTTTTTTTTTTTGCTGGGACTGCTCATCTCGCGACCAGCTACTGAATACATAAGGCTTCCTCCTCCCACCTCCGATTTTCCCGTTCACGATACAACAGTCTTGACAACTACTTCTTCTAAAGAATACCACTGCGACTTGCACCGCTACTTGCACCCATCATCCAACATCAACACTGGTCTACAGAAGTACTCTGTTGTTTACATCGTCGTCTTTACCACATCCACCAGCGAACCTGCAATCAGCCGTTCGCGTCCAAACCAACACTACAACACATCAATGTCCATTTGCGTCGACATTTCTTGCAACATGCCTGCTCAACGTCCTTCTCACCTTCCTCCGTGCCCTGGACCCCCTCCCAGCCGTCCTCTGCCGCCCCTGCCAAAGTAAACGGGCTCTCGACCGGCTTCTAGCACTCGATACGACTCGGTTACGCTTCGGATACTCGCAATTATGGACTTCTACTCTTGAGAAGAAACCCCCACCTACAAGGCCCATGGCATTTCAACAAAACACCACCACGTCATGTTTGGTGGCTTGATCAGCCCTCGACTCGGCCACTGCATCTGCGGGTCTGCACCCGCAGATAGACATGCATGCATGCCTTCAGCCTGGCTGCTGCGCGGCATCAGCAACCCCTCTTCGTTGACCGCAGACGCCTCGCCGTCTTCTATCCTGCATCGTTTGGTCATCTGCCCTCGAGCAGCCCCCGCAGCCTGACGTGGGACCTTGTTCTCGTCACGTCGACGGACAATGGTCCTCACCAGCCACTTTGTCCCTTGCCCGCGCTGCCGGCGGCGGCAATATCTGGCCTTGATTATAGCTCGGGTTCCTTATTCTGTCCCCAAGCTCATCTTACGATTTGCTCGCCCGCATCCTCGATCTCCCGTCACGAGGACAATCCTTCTGGCAACGTGCGGCTCATTCCCCCGCTCTTCTCTTCTTCCAACCCCTCGCACCATCTTCGCTGGCTCGAAGCCTTGTTGGCTGTCGCATTTCTTTTTGCCTTTTCTCGTATTTCTTTTCTTTTCTTTTTTTCCCCAAATATTTGTACAAGGAGCGTGCATAATACACGGGGGGAGAACAGCACGGCCCCCTTTTTTGCTTTCATTGGACGAGGAGGATTTACACATTATACACTTGTACTATTAGACATCCTGGCGCCAAGGCTTGCCTGCTTGGCTTGGCTTTCTCCCCCAGGCGCTTACACGATACCGGAAAGCATTCATGATACACACATTTGGAGGCATATAGAACACGGGAATTTCCAACACAGTTTCTTCGCACAAAGACCTGTTCCACTGATCACTCGGTGTAGACGTTGGTAGATGGGAGATTTGCACCTTGCTCGCGCATTTAGATATATTTGATTTCAATACGTTGTTTCTCTTTGCCTCTTATCCGCCTTGTGTGCCTTGCTACCTTATTACTGGTATCTCTAGCTGCATGCTCATGTAGTACTGCATAATGTATCGGTACGCTGCTGCTTTGGTAGTGGCTTGCGATGTTCGCGTCTTCGCTACCAACCCCTCTGAGACAACGGAACTTGTGCCTCTCTCGTTGTTTTACGGACGATTCAGCCGCAGGCTCTCATCCAACTCGAGCCCTGTCATCCCCGCGAGACGGCCGGGCCATGTCTCTGGCCGGACCGTCTACAGCTTGCATGCAGCCGCTGTGGCGGGGTGCGCCTTGACGCCTTGTTGCAAGATCATTTCCTATATTGCTTTTTTCGACGTGCTTTTTCGACGTACTATTTCTCTATCCAGCAGGTACACACACAATTAGCGCCGACTAAGCCGGCTGGTTGCGTCTTCCTCCAAGACAACGGGACTAGGTAGCAGAAACAAAGTTCAGGAACGTCGATCTGTCTGCCCCTCCTTTCCCGCCCGACTCAGCCTGGGGGGGGCCGTTCTTTTGATGTAGCATTAGGCCAAAGCTCGCCAGCCAACCGAGGACATGGGCAGAGGCGACACGTTCCTTTCTCCGTTCACTCGGATGAACCAACTTAAGTTATTGGAGGATATAGTACACCCCCAAAAGTGACCGAGAAGGGAAAAAGAAAGCCGGCCGGAAACGGACTAGGAGGATGAAACGTGCGCGGCGCGGGGGTGGTAGTGGTGGGTGGTGGTGGGAAGGGAAAGGCCGGTTCTTCCTTGCCACAGTGCACCAAACCAACCAATCTTGTTAGGAAATCGAATGACCCGTTCCCTCCCTTTCCCCCGGAGGGTAACGCTGGCTAGGCTGGGCAGGCAAGCAAAGTGGGATGATGGATATGTGATGGGTGCCGCTGCATTCGACCACGTATCCCGGTCCTGCCGGCTAGCTGCCTCTTTTGCTCTTTTGGGCGGCGCACCAGTTCATCCAATGCAAGCCACACGCCCTCTCAGACTGCCTTTAAGTACCAACGAGTTACGAGAGACGGCGAGGTGCGGGCAGGCGTTCATGCGGTCCATGGTCACGATGCTCACAACCTTCAGAACATGTAGCCGGAAAAAGAAGGAGGGCGGGCAGGCGGACAGGCGGACGAAGACGTACTCTCTCTTCCAAGACAAAACGCCTCACCGCAGTGGCTAGACCACAGGGGGGGCGAACTCGAACGAGGCGAAGAAAAGCCGCCAACTTTGCGGCGCAAATTCCGCTTGTGTTGTCTCTGTTCAATCACTTTTTGATGATTATGATTTACCAGTTAATCCGTATTGTGGCCGTGAAACATGGGTCACGCGTCCCGGCCACCGGGTCGTTTATATCAGCGCAGCCGCTGGACCCTTGTCTTGCCTGTCTGTCTGTATGCAGACGAAAAGAGGCAGATGCGGGTGCCGAGATTTTTGCAAGTCCCTGTTGGCCTAAATACGGTTCTGCCGCGGCTGCAGCGGCATATCTGGGATTGGGTTTGTCTCAGCGCTTTGGGAAACAAAAGTCTGGGGCTGCCGGCCGCCGCTCGCACATTTTCTACTTCTCATCGGCGGCCGACGTTGTTTCAAGTTGGAAACACTCGGCCTGACAAGAATAACAGAGAGAGAAGAACAAGAAGAACAAGAAGAAGAAGAAGAAGAAGAAGAGAAAAGCCCCTCCCGAGGACGAAGAAAAAAGAGACAAGCAAACGCCCTCCCGAGTGTCGATCGATGACGTTGTGCCCATGGAACCGTTCATTTTCAGGTTGCGAGGGGGGCCAGGCTCCAGGACAGGGGGGCCTCGTTGGTGGGCGTGATGGCCAATTCTTCCACAAGATATGCCCCCAAAACTCCGCACTCCGTCTAGGCGCACGCGTTAGTTTTGTGTTAATAACTATTCCCCTGCGAAATGGTGGCTTTGACGCAACGAGTGGCAAAAACAACTACGTATCACTATACTAGTAACTAGTTATGGTTCCCAGCCATGTTTCGGACATTTGCGCAAAATGTCGAGATTGCGCAGCATCTGTGGCATCTGTGCTGTCTTGCCCCTATCCTATTCCCACTGCTCAGCCCCTGGCTGGAAAGGCCACGATCGCACTCTCTACACTCCCCTCTCTCTTATTAAACCCAGTAATATCGATGAAATGACTGCATCATGTACGCTCCCCCCGCCCCGATGCAGTATCAAACTCACGTCTTAATTCAGGGGACTGCATATGTCCTGGACCCGCCTATACTGTCCATCCAGGATCGTGAGATATGCCGGGGGGTCCCTTTGTCCTGGCCATTGACAAGCAAACTTGGTTGGAGATTTGCTCGCGATGTCCGAAAATTTTCACCAGGTTTGTAATCTCCTTGCCTGCAGCAGCCCACTGTGGTGACGAGGTCCCTGAGAGCCCACATCGGCGACAGCATCTACTTCGTAGACCTAGATTGAATATAGAAAAACTCCGTTGTGCCTGTCCAATCTCGAGAGTGCAGCAGGCAGAGCAACGAACTACTGCAGGTTCCCGTACTCTCACCAGAGTCAACAGATGCAAGCTCCACACTTGGTTGTACACAACTCGTTCCTGAGCGTCGCCAGGAACCCCCTGAGATTCGCCACGTTGTTGGAGACCTGGCTTCGCTCTGCGTTAACTAACGTTAGTTAGCCCCTTCCACCTGATTCGTGTTCCTGGATTGGTCCCCGCTAGTCTGTCTTTGACAACTCAGGCGCGCGTTGGCCTGTTACACCCCTCGCCCTCTCTTCGTTTCGTCCAAGAGGTATCCAGTTCTGATGGCAGTCCACATACGAGGAGAGAGAGCCTGAACAAGCTGAAAGGGGGAGGGTCTGGATGGCTCAGCATCGAACTATTTCGCTGCTTAGCGAGATTGCCTCAGGCGCTGATTGTCAATCGTTTCTTTTTGTTACCAAAAAGCATCGCGCCACTGGGGGAAGGTAGGATCTCGCTCTTCAGCCCAGTTTGGGAAAAAAAAAAGACCGGGTTGGGACAACTCACCCACATGGTTCGCCCTGACTCGCTCGACTGATTCGTCCGACATCTGCTTATAATAACGCCGGGATCGCATGAATTTGCTACCACATAGCCGCCCGAGTATTCCGGCCGGAAGCATGATGCCGATGCACGTTATTCGACGACCAGCGTGACGCAGGATATACAAAGTATACCAAGAAGAGGCGAAAATAGAGGCAGTCGAGGCAGCGGATTGTCTTTGTTGGTCTCTTGAAAGGGTATACGTTACTATCGTCTACTGCAAGTCGACTGGTCACCTGTATCTGTCCGCCGCGCCTCGCTTGGCAACGCCAACCCTGAGGTCACTGTGAGCTGAAAAGCGGGCGCCATCTCGCTTTCTCTCTTTTCTTAATGGTGGTATTCCGGGGAAGTCAGCCAGGGTCCATGACTCGATGGAAAGCCGTTAGTCCATTCTATCAACCCTTCTATCCATTTGTGGCCCAAGGAAAGAATACATATTGGGCTTGTACCTAACCGCAACGCTCATTATGATTTGTGGTTGCGAAGAGTCACATACCACGCGCCACTGCTTTCGTCAATATGTGGACCGAGTTTGCCGAGCTCCTCGGCGAACAGCGCCGTCTTGGTAGCATCCTCGTGTAACTGTAATGGCCGTAGAACAAAAGACCAACGCAGCGAGGAGAACCGAGCAGGTTGAAGGGCATGAAAATGTACCTCGATGCTCTCCCACCCGAGCACGAAGACGGAGAGCAACTGGTCCTCTGGCGGCAAACTTGTTGAGGCCGCACCGGCTGTTGTATCGCCTTGAACCAGTGTCGTGTTGGTTGCGAATCCCCAGTCGCCGCCGACGAAGCCCAGCATCTTGTAGCAGTCCGCGTTCGACTTGTACACCGATTTGCGGATCGTATCGTCCAGCACCGGCGTGTCTGGCTTGAACCGTAAAACGACCTATCAAACGACGACGTCAATTCTTTTAGTAGACCCCCAATCACACGGGTCGAACGACAGCGCACGGCCCTCGAGCCGTTGTGTTGGAGAAAAAAATGTAGAAGGAGGGACGGGGGTAGATCAACGTACCACCTCGCAGACGGGCGCTTCCAGAGCCGATAACAAGTTGTTGTAATTGAGTTCGTCCGTCTCAACGTGACGTCGGCGACCTCTCCATCGGCGAGCTCCCCAACGACTCGCGCAGCGGCGTGTTCCATTCCGGTTCCCCGGGCCATTCTAGTGGATCAACTCAGCTCAGCCCGACCCTTGGCCTCGCTTCTGTTTTCCAGGCCACACGCAGCTGCAGCGTCAAGCATCAAGGGAACCCGAAGGAAGGAAGGTCAACTTACGAATGATCAAGGTGATCTCGTGTCTCGGCTTTGGTATTGCCTTGCGCATCGAGAAGGAGGAGCCAAAGTACTGGCTCAGGGCGCCAGCCGCCCGCAACTCGTCAAAAGTACCAACCGAGATGGTATTCTCTGAAGGCAGAGTGAATCGCAAGATTTGGGATCTCATTTTCGGGCGAAGTCAAGATGTTACTGCAGCCGATGCGTGACTGTTTGTGCTCTTCAAAAGGCCAAATGCGAAGGCGGGGTTCTTTTATCTCGGCGTTTGCAAGTTGTGACGACGTCGGCGGCTGACAAATTCGACACCTCAGAATGTGCACGTCTAACAGCTTCTTTTCCCTTTATCCACGCTTTCCAAGTAGCTCCTGGTGGAAAATCAGTCTCAGAACTAAAATCTGACTGTCTCCGGTCAATGTAAAGCTCGCTTAGGCGTTTGGCTACCAAAAGTTCACGGTCACAGTGCATCACGTGGAACAACTCTGACTCTTCAAGGACACTTCAGCAATGACTGCAAACCTGAGACCTTGCTTTTGTTTTCTGTCTTAATTGCATTATCTCAGGACATGATCTCCTTGAAGCATTGCTGGAAAATTCTCCATACCATTGCGCGAACACTTGGGGCTGCCCGATTTGGTACACGCCTAGTTTATGTTGAGGCAACTAATCCGTATCAAATCTTTAAACCAGTTCTGAGTTTCGCATAACCCGTTCCCTTTTCCTCTTGAAATATGTGAATTGGTGTTGCCTGCCGCTAGGCCGTTTGAGTTTCTGTTTCGAAGTTCTAAGGAACCGACATTCTCTGGCTGCGCTACGTGCTGGTCGGTGTAAGTCGGCCGACGTTCAGGCTCGCAACGACAGCTCGTCGCGTCGCGGATTAAAATTTTCATCTGAAGTCTTATTGACCTTCTACTAGTCGTCAAAAACTTTTTCCAGCCATTTGCAAATCGCTGATCAAGCCTTTGCCCAACTCTGAGACGGGGTCAAAGCCATGCCATCCCCCAGTCCATATGTACGTGCAAGTCTGCCCGAGGGCCGGAGCTCGCATGCTGAACGCATATGATATAACTTCGGCGCTGAATTACCATGAGCAGCCAAAATTGACGAATCTTTCTGGCAGTCCAGACATGTTAGTTGCCCTGGTGAAACGTCAGGACCAAGTCCTCGCCGGCGCCCTTGTGCCGTGGACGGCTGGAGTCGTCCGAGGCATTACACACAAAAAGAACGGTTACTTCAGGATATGATACACATCAAACTTTCGAATTTATGCCGAGGAGCATGTTAGCCGCGTATATTTCCAGCAGATTCCCATGTAACGGTCCCGGCGTTCACATCCAGGTGGTACCTCAAACCCGGCCCCACTAAAATTTATCAGCCTGCCAGATCAGCATCCGCGAGCATCAGAACAAGGACTTCATCATCAAACGCATCTCATCCACAACAACGGGCACCAAATCAGGTCTGTAGTCCGTGATGCTGGAGCTACACGTATGGGGCCCAGTCTTTGGGGTCCCCTCTATTGACGCCGAATGCATCGCTGCCATCACATATCTCCACAACGCCGTCAGGGATGATATTGAATTCCGCATCGTTCCAAGCAACAACGTCTCCGTGAGTCCATCAGGTATGTTCCGATTATTTGTTTCCTGTGTCATCCCATACATGCACACGCCCCTCCACCATCCCCTTAGGCGTAGATGCCGATCAATTTTCGCGCACGCGCCGCCGCCCTGTGTCCTTGTCTTCACCGAAAATCACCAACCAGCCTTGCCTTGCATATATGAAACACACAGAGAGCTCGCCCCTGCTGACCTTGATGCCTCTCTTTTCCCCGCACGAAAAGGCCTGCTCCCCGCCTTGAACCACGATGGGGTCTGGACGAGCGGCTACCCCGCGATCGTGAGGTACCTCTACTCAAAGTCACTCGCCGACGACCTCGACGGCAGCCTGGACGCCGCCCACCGCGCCGACGTCGTCGCATTTAGCGCCTACCTCGGCGTCCACGCCTCGGCCCTGCTCGACCTCTCCCTCTACGTCTCGGCCGCCAACTGGTCCGCCGCAACGCGGCCCGCGTACTCGGCGCTGCTCCGGTTCCCGCTGACGTGGACCGTGCCGACGCTGATCCGCGCTGACGCCATCCAGCGCGTCGAGCACCTTGGGCTGGCGGAGCTCGACACCGACTTTGACCCCCACGGCGGCTTGCATCTCACGGCGGGTAGGGACGCCTTGCCGGAGGCGTTCCGCAAGCATCTTCCCGGAACGTCCAAGCACAAGAACACCGTCAAGGAGGAGATGACGCCCGAGCAGTCGGTCGCCATCCGGCTCTTTAGCTTAACCGAGAGTTGCTTGGGAACTTTGGAGGATCTTCTCTCAAAAGCGGACAGGTCGCCTCGTTTCTTCCCAAAGCACGGCACAAAGCGCGGCTTGACGTCGCTGGACTGCCTGGCTTTTGGCTACCTTGCTCTGATGCTGAAGGCTCCCGTGCCACGCGCGTTCCTAAAGGACTGGGTAGCAGAACATGCTCCCTGCCTCACGTTGTTTGTCGATGATGTGCTGGCCAACGCTACCCCAGCAACAGACAGCATCGTCTGGGCCGCTCCGCCTCGGCGTGGCTATCTTTCTGCCACGGGCAGGGTGCTCGACTCCGTTGTCAGACATATGCCGGTCTTTGGCGAGCACTACGCTGGCGAGGTGCGCCGCCGTTGCGAGGGCAAGATGGTCGGCATTGACCGCCGGAGCGCGTCGCTAACAGCAGCACTGCTCTTCGCCGGCGCTGGGTTTGGCTACGCAACTTACTGGTACCGCAGCCTTGAGCCGTTCGGCGCCCGGTCGCAGACTTGGCGTTCCCATAGACCCGGCAACTCGCGCCTTAGTCAGTTTGGCGAGCTTGGCTCCATGCTTGATAGCGTCCTCGGTCCTGTCAAGCCTGTTGCAAGTCCTATTGCCGGGGCGGCTGGAATCGATGGGCGCATTGTGGACCTAGATTCCGAGATTGATTGAGGTCTGCTGACGGTTTTGACTGGACACAAGCTTTATACCCCCTTGTATTTGTATAGCATTTGTATAATTGATCATGTACAATGATGGATAGAGAATTTACTTTTATTAAGTGTTCTCAATTCTATCGACACCATTCAATGCGCTAATAATCTTACAAATAGGTCTAGTGACCTGCATGACACTGTCCATCTACTGTGTATATCATTCCAGCTTTCGACTGTCTTCTTCTCAACCAAACCCGAAATTACAATTGCTTTATCTCCTTGCCAATAAGATCGGGTCGCTCAACATCTAGCTCGTCTCTCAACACCGCAAATGCCAGGTCGCTGACCAGCAGGCTCTGGCCCAGGCTCCAAACCAACGTGATGGCGTAAAAGAAGTTGGCATTGCCGCTTCCGGCGTATATCCATAAGTGGTAGAAAGCAGGGCCCAAAAACGACGAGTACAGCACAGTCGATGAAGCGACGAAGCTGTAGCGCATTAGAGGAAAAAGGTGGCGGTAGAGCGGGAGCATGCCGAGGAACAGGGCCGTGTCTGCAATGGAGGGATACGGCTTGAAGATGGCAAAGATGCCCACAAGCACTGATAGTGCTGCAAGAGGCTGCTTGCGCAATCTTATCGACAGGCCGCCGACGTAGGCGCCAAGGTGCAGCCAAAAGACGCCGAGGAAGAAGGCGCGAAAGGGGTCGAAGATTTCGATGAAGAAGTACCACCACAGGCCGACATTCGGAGTCAGGTCCGAGAGGGTTAGCTGGATGCCGTACGTGCGCGCGAAAAAGGTCCAGGAGTTGCCCGCAAGCGCAAAGGACATGCCAAAGAGCATCGCGAGGATGGCGGCCACCGTGCCGAGGCAAGTAGCAATAAAGGCTGGCGCGCCGGCGATGGCGCGCTTGGCGGTTTGACGATCGTATGCGAGTATAATGAGCGGCGGAAGAAGGAGGATCGGGTACATCGACAGGTATGAGGCAAAGGCCAAGGCCACCATCGCGTTCAAGGGCGAGCCGGAGAGCGCCTTGGCGATGGCATGGAGGACGGCGCATGTCGTGAACACGCTGGTCGTGCGGCCGAGGCAGGTCGCGATGGTAAGTGGGTTGAACAGGAAGCTGCCGTCGAGTTAGCATCTTGCCTCTCGGGGTGAGGTCGGGGCAAAGTATGTAGAGACGTACGCCGCAGCAATGAAGACGCCCGAGGTGGTCTTGGCTCGTCGCGGCGAGGTGTAGAGCTTCGTCTGGCCGGCCTCACCGGAATCCGCAATGGTGGCGAGCGCACTGGCGCTCAGCAGGTCGACGAGTATGTATAGTATGGCTGTGAAAATGGGCCACTCCTTGACGTCGGGGAGTAGCGAGAAGAGGGGGAGCAGCAGCGGCGGCTGGTGGAAGACGCCGCCATCGTAGGGATCGACATTGTGATTATATAGAAACAGACCCTCTTGCACTACCTCGCGGCGACGTGTGTTAGCTGTCTGAGAGAAGAGAAAAGAGACGAATTGAGAGTGTGCTCGCGCACTTCAACCAAGTCGCGACCGGGGGGGGGGTTATAATTCGGGAGAGGGAGACGCACGTCGTTTAAAGCTGGTGACGGGGGTCGAGATCTCGACGCGACCCGTCAAAAGGTCTGGCAGGTGGGGGAACGCGGTGAAGAGGACAAGTCGCAACAAAGCAGCGCCGACGAAGACGCCGGCCTTGTTACGGAGAGCCATGGTTGTTGTGATGGTCATGGCATGATCTCCGGGGACGTTCTGGGGCGGCGTGGGCGGCGTGGGCGGCGTGGGCGGCGTTGGAGTAAATCGAGGCGGCTTGTCGGAGAGCTTGCTCAGCCTGATGTCAAGGCCACTTGGCCCCTGCCTGTGAGAGGAGTTCCTGGCGCGCTAGCGGGGCGCGGTAGCTAACTGACAGAGGGCAGCCTGCCGCATGAAAGATGAATTGTAGACCTGATGGTAAAATATGTTACTAGAATCACGGAAATAGATAAGTCACTACAATATATAAAATATGGGCAATCATGTGCAGGACTCAAGAGCCTCTCTCTATATTAGTTACAAGCTGCCTATCCTGGTTGAAAGGTGGTGGGGCATCCCTCCGATAAAACTGTCAGAATAGAAGCCATTGGCAAACATAAAGCCAAGATTATTACTCTATGCAAAATTTCACAGTTATTTAATACCTATATTATTCTGTTCAAACTTTTCTGGATTTGTAAATGCTGTTGCACCCTCCAATTCTGCCTCAAGAGATCTAACTACCTTCTTCGCTTCCCCAGTTACAAACAGAATCCACGCTAGCCCTATCTTGGAAGCACCCTAAGGCGGTGTACGTCGGCACGAAATTTTCTGGCAAAAAAAAAGTTCAAGTCGAAGCAGCTGTCCAGCGCAGAAAAGCGACTCTCTGCGCCCCGCCAGTTGCAACGAAGGTTGTCCAAGATAACTATTCACAACCACCACTACCGCTCACAATGGCTCGTATCAAGAGAAGAGGCGACTCGGGCGCCGCCAAAAACTACGTTACCCGAAACCAGGCGATCCGCAAACTCCAAATCAGCCTCCCCGACTTCCGAAAGCTCTGCATCTGGAAGGGCATCTATCCCCGCGAGCCTCGCAGCAAGAAGAAGGTCTCCAAGTCGTCCACCGCTTCCACCACCTTTTACTACCACAAGGACATTCAATACCTCTTGCATGAGCCTCTCCTGCAAAAGTTCCGCGACACAAAGGCCCTCGAGAAGAAGATCTCGAAGGCCCTTGGCCGCGGCGACGTCAAGGATGCCGCCCGTCTCGACAGCAACGCTGCCCACCCCGAAAAGACTGGAAAGCCCAACTACACTCTCGACCATGTCATCCGCGAACGTTACCCGACCTTTGTTGATGCTTTGAGAGACCTGGACGACTGCCTGTCCATGCTCTTCCTCTTCGCCAACCTGCCGTCCACCTCCACCGTTCCGGCCAAGATGATTGCGCGATGCGAAAGACTTTGCCTCGAGTTCCAGCACTACCTTATTGTCTCCCGCAGTCTGACAAAGTCCTTCCTCTCGATCAAGGGCATCTACTATCAGGCTAATATTCAAGGCGAGGAGGTTCTGTGGCTCGTTCCTTACAAGTTCACTCAGCGCGTCGTTGGCGACGTCGATTTCCGCATCATGGGTACCTTTATCGAGTTCTACATGACCCTTCTCGGCTTCATCAACTTCAGGCTTTACACCTCAATTGGTCTCAAGTACCCTCCCAAGTTTGACCTGGTCAAGGATGAGAATGCTGCCGAACTTGGCGCTTTCACCCTTGAGGGCAAGACCCTAGTCGGCGGCGAGGAGCAGAAGCAACTGGAGGATATTGCTCACCGCCCTGATCCCAAGGTCCAAGCTGCTGTCAACAAGGTTGTCAAGACGTTGACCTCTGGCGACGCCAACGGCAATGAAACCGAACCCGCCGCTGAGGAGGGCGAAGAAGATAACTCTGGTTCTCTTGACAAGTTTGAGCCAGCCGCGCCGGGCGGCGATGTTTTGCTACAGCCCTCCGCCGGTGGCAGGGGCCACGGTGCTATTTTCTCTAACTTCACCTTTTATCTCTCCCGTGAGACCCCCCGCCAACCTCTTGAATTCATTCTCAAGGCTTTTGGGTGCAAGCGCGTTGGCTGGGATGCCACCCTCGGCGACGGTGCCTACACTACAAACGAGCTAGACCCTTCCATCACCCATCATATTGTCGACAGACCTGTTATCCAGGCCGCGACAACGGAGGGGGGCGATGGCGAAGACAACCAAACCTCTCAGAAGCTAGCACAAAACCAACGTGTTCCTGGTCGTATATACGTCCAGCCTCAGTGGGTCTGGGATAGTGTCAATGACGGCGAGCTAAAGGAGGCGCACATGTATGCCCCTGGTGCTTCTCTGCCTCCTCACTTGAGTCCGTTTGTCAAGAACGTCCAAGGCGCATATGACCCCACAGTCCCTCTTGAGGAGCAGGAACCTGAAAACGAAGCTCTCGAGGCCGATAGCGATGTCGAAGATGAGGATGTCGATGCGGACGAGACTGCTGAGGGCATGGATGTTGCCGATGAGGACGAAGATGAGGATGATGAGGATGAGGATGCAGATGAGGACGAAGAAGCGGATGAGGATGAGGATGAGGACGATGATGACGAGGACGACAGCGCACAGCGGCAACAGGAGCTGGAAGCCGAGATGACTGGCGCTTCTGTCAACTCCAAGAAGGTCAATGCCAAGGCCAAGGCCAAGGCAGACGCCCGCAAAGCCTACTCCAAGAAGTCGCGCGAAGAAGCTGAGGATCTTGAGCGTGCCAAGGGTATGCTGAGCAAGAAGAAGCGCAAGTTGTTTGAACAAATGCAGTATACGAATAACAAGAAGAGCGCTGCTGATGAGAAGCTTCGCGGAAAGAGAAGGAGACTGGAAAAAGAAAAGGCGAAGAAGGCATCGGCGTAATTTGGTTTGCTTTTTTTTTCTTGTGTTGTATAGCAAAACTCATAGATGAATTATTCTGAATGATACAATCTCGTCATAAAAGAATCAAGGCAATTAGAGTTAAATTCTTGTACGTGGCTGTAGTTCAACAATCTGCTAGCTGCAAGTGCAGCAAAGAGAGTTCAACTTTCCAAGCGTGGGTCTTGACAAACCTTGCTGCACTTTCACTTTTCAACCTCGCCTCACAATCCATCGCCAGCGCTTATCAACGGCGACTCTATCAAAAATGGACAATAATACAAGAAGCCTAGTTGACACCATATAATAAGCTTGCTCATATACACCAACCGCGGCCATAGCGCATGACAGACCAGCTGCGCCATGTCGCAACACGAGGCCGACTGGGATCTCGACACCGACGAGATAACTTCCGTCGGATCGGAAGAGCTCTACGAAAGCCGACCAAATCGCTGGAAAGGGCCCAAATCGACATGGCGTCACCTCACAGAGGAGGAGCGCCTGCTGTGGCGCTCCACGAAACAGCTGCAGGACGAGGACTTGAGCGTGCATCTTTACAACGCCTTTGTGCTGAAGCAGCGCGCGGCGAACCCTGAGATTGCCAAGGACCAAACCATACAAACGGTATGCTACTGCATTCTAAATTCCAATGGAAATACTAATGAATAAATACAGGATGATGGACAAGAGGCTATTTGGGCGCCGCCCCAGTCGTGGACAGCCTGGCCCATGAGGCAAAAACACATACCGCGCGCTGGTCTTTTCAAGGAGGAAGGGGACGAGGATGATGCGTTTACTTTTCGCCGCAAAGAAAAGGCCACGCCTAGCTCGGAGCTTAGAGCTGAAACTACAGCCACCATTCTAAGGATCGCCAAGGAGCGGTTTTCTCGCCGTAAGCCCCCGCAAACAATGAGGCCATCCATCGAAACCCTAGATTCACCAAGTCCGGATGATGATATCAAAGGACCCTCGTCTGATGAATCCGAGGCGGGAATCTCCTCGCAACCTGACGAGAACCAAGCTACGGATGCTTCCGGTATTGACGATGACCAATCCTCGCGACGAAGGAAGAGAGCCGATCAAACATTCGACCCAGTCGTCTCGGCGGATGATGATCTTTCGATGTCGCTACTGAAGGAATCCGTGGGGCATATTCTGTCGCAGGTGGACAAAACACTTACCATTCTACACCATACACGCGTCGCTGGCCTCAGCTACCAGTCCGACTCCTCCGAAACAGAGACGGAGCAGGAATCGGACACCACTCAAACTTCAACCCGCAAGCGCGGCCGCGGCCGCCCGCGACTGCCTCCCCAGCCAAGATCCGCGGAGTCATCCACTAGCCGTTCAACGACACGTCGCGGTCGGCCCAAGACAGTGCATATTCCCGAACCAGGCGAGACGCTGGAGCAGATGGCTCTGCGCGTCGCGCGTCGTGGCCACAGACGCCTGCCCACGACCGAGGCAGACCGTGAGGCGGCGTTTGAGGAGTGGTTGAGACAGGGCGACGAGCGCGTCGCACGCGAGCAACGCAGGCTGTCCAGCCATCCCGTGTCTGAGGAGTCCGAGTCCCAAGACGACGACGACAACGTGTCGACACGGACAAACCGGGGAAGCAAAATTCGCTGCTGGGGCCTGCGCGACTGGAGCGACCTCGTGGGCGCTGCCGCGCTCGCCGGGTTTCCGCCAGGAGTCGTCGAGCGCACGGCGCAGCGCTGCGCGAACCTCTTTGGCCAGGGCATGTCCCTTACACGGCTCGATGAGGCTCCTGCCGCCCGCGCGGCAGCGGCCGCCGCCGTCCACACCACGACGTACCAGCCAGAACGCATCCGCCTGTCCGCGACCCCCAACGGCAGTGAAGACGACGATGGCGACAACGACTGGGAGTCCGCGGCCGGCCTACAGCAGCGCCGCATCGTGTCCCGGCAGGCTTCGTTGGCGCGCTCCAGCCGGGAAGCAAGCGCCGCAGCCGCTGCCTCCTCACCGCGCAGCAGCCACTCTCCGTCGCAGCCCATGTCACGCTCGTCGTCGACGGGCGGCTTCCTTTGCCCAGTGGCGTCGTGCGATCGCGCCGTGAACGGCTTCTCGCGAAAGGCCAACCTGGAGCGGCACATGCAAGTCATTCACTCCGGCGACAGCGATGGCGGCCCCTCTCCGTCTCGATCGCGCTCCCGGTCGCGGTCCGTGTCGCGGTCTTCCGCGGGCATCCTCTTTTGCCCAGTAGCTCGGTGCGAGCGCGCCGCGAACGGCTTCACGCGACGGGCCAACCTGCAGCGGCACATGCAGCTCCTTCACCCCGGCATCGACGCGAGTGCCGCCCTTGCTGCTGCCGCTGCCGTATCCGCTGCCGTCTCCACCGTCGAGACCCCGGAGGATAGCGATGACGAGATCCTCGGCGCGGTCCATGTCGATGGGTTCCTGCGCACCGTCAACCCCGGCAAGGGCTGGCGCGGAGAGGACGCGGCCCCTCGGCAGAGGAGGAAGAGGCCAGCAACGCCTCCAGCGGGCCGCGCTACGAAGAAGCTGAGTCTCTCTTCCTCTGAGTATTCTGAATAATGACGTGAGTTAGAATGAGGCATGCACTGGGAACTTTCTTTTGGATAGCAAAGAGAGAAAGATTTCCCCAGTGTCGGAGAATGGTGGCTTTCCAAAGGCCACTTAGATGTACATGGAGCAAAAACTATAACAAGCAATATACCCCTTTGAGTTGTATTTTCTATTACATTAGATAACTTTGCACGCTGATCCGTTCATCTATGAAAGAAGCCCCTATAACGCCACGCATGCAAACAAAAACAGCCGCCTCTTTCAAACGACAAAAGTTCAGATTCAAAAAGAATGCATATCAAGAGATTGACGTGATGTGTGTATGTAAAAACGAAAGCGAACGGAGGGGGTATCTAGAGAGAAAGGGCGGAAAAAGAAGCTTCGACACCTGCGTCCTTTTTTTTCCCTTGGACATATCCAAGCATCCATCCCGTAAAGAAACCAACAAAAATACCACCTTCAAAATCAACAACAAGCAAACCTCGTGCTTTTTTGTCTCAATCCTTTTCGCCAGAAGAAGAGGCAACTAATCCGAGAAAAACTCCGTCGCCGCTCCGTTGTGAGAATGCAAAAAAAAGTCTCCAATTTCAAAGTGCCCAATGAATATGCGTATAATTTGTGTCGTTGTAGGGAGCCCCGCCAGATGATCACGACAGCAACTCCATCTGGCTCAATTAAGGGTGATTTATTTGAGCCGTGGGCTCTTTCTCTTGGAACCGGCCGAAGCCAACGCAGACGGTGGCAAGTTCTCGCGCCCCTCGACCGCGACGCCGGACCTCTTGATACCCGCCACGCGCGCCGTCCTGGTGCTGCGCTTGAGCAGGGGCATCGTCGCGTTCTCGGCGGTCGGCGGCATGGACGTGGCGATGCTCGTCGCGCGGCTACTGGGCTCAAACCCCAGCGTTGCCGGCGCCGTCACGTTCGCCGTCACGTTGGGGTTGACTTCGCGCAGGCTCGCGCCAAGCGCCTGGTTCTTGTCAGTAACGCAGGCTTCTTCGCCGGGGCTGGTGGCCGCGGCGGCAGACGTGTCAGACGACTCGCCACGCCGCGGCGAGGAGGAGGAGAAGGAGCTTGCCTTGGTAGAAGGGGGCTGCGGTTGCGTCAACGGTAGATCAGCAAAGACAATGGTCTGGTCCTGGTCCGTAGAGCGGTCCACCACAGCCGCGGCCAACGGCGATGCTGGCATGCTGCTCTCGTCCTCCTCGTCAACCATGCCCTCGGCGGTGTTATTTGTTCGTGGCAAGACAGTCGGGTATTGATAGACTGCCTTTTGTGGCGTGTTGCCCGTTGGCTGGTACTCTTGGAGGGTGGTGCCGGAGATGCCTTCGCGGAGGTTTGCCAAGGGCTGGCATAGTTGCGAATCGAGCTGCTCCAAAGCCTCGCGCATATCGTCCGTGTCCAGTTCCATCTCCTCGCCGACATTCTTGACTCGGTCAAAGGTCGACTTGAAGTGCGACGAGATGTTGCCAAAGGATTGCTCGACAGTGTTGGATAGAGCCTCGATCGATTGCTCTTGGCTCTCATGTTGTGTCGTGTTTGCTGTGCGGGCATGTGTGACAAAGTCGTCGAGCGCATGCATCTTGGACCCTAGATCCTCGACCTGCTCATCGACCACGCGCACCGTCTCGGCGTGCACCGACTTGGCAGTGCTCTGGATGGCGGTGCTCTGCTCGCTGGCAGTATTCCAGTCATCTTTGAGCTTCGTCTTGAGTTGTTCACGAGACTTCTTGACTTCTTCCAAGAGCTCGCCTTCCTTCTCGTCCCACAACTCCATGCCCTCGTTGTATTGGGTTGCGGCGCGTTCCAGAATGGTGCCGGATTCCGTTACCGACTTCTGGATCTGCGAGGCTTTGTCCGCGAATCTCGTTTCTTGCGTCTCAGCCTGCGTGTTGATCAACGTCGTAATTTGAGCAAGCAGCTTCTGACGATCCTCCGCGGCTTGCCGTCGCTCTTCGCTGATGACCTCTTGGATACGCAGCGAGGTGTTGGAGTTTTGGAGAACAGCGGCATTCGTTGCGCTCTGGAGCTGGCGTCGAAGGTTCTCCGACTCGCTGCGCTGGGCAGTGAGGTGCTTGACAAGGTCTTCAAAGATGGACTTGAAGTCCTTGCCTAGAGAAGAGTACGAGTTGTGCAGGTGCGCGTGCAGATTGCCCATCTCGGCGACGACATCGGCAGCAATCTTCTCAGCGGCGCCAGAGATGACCTGTAAGCTCTCACCCACGCGGTGTTTCACGCTGTCGCGAATGACATTGATTTCCTCCAGCACCTCATCCATCTCAACTTTGGATTTCTGTTTTTGCTCCAGCATCAGCCTTTTGGAATCGGTAAATGCGTTGAGTTGCTCGTCAAGGAACGTCTGGGTGGCTGATAGCTTTTGAAGTTCCTCTTGGACAAAGGTAGCCATCCGCGTCGAGATGCTGGAGATGTGCTGGCGTTGCTCATCCTGGAAGTCGGCGACGCGGCGCTCAACCATGGACGTGACGTCGGAAACCTGCATCTGTGAGGTTCCCCATGCGGCCCGGTTGACGGATTGCAGATCCGACTTTCGCTTATTCTTGGCATGCAGCCCACTGACGTCCTTGACTGTTCGCTGGAGCTTGTGGATGAGCTCGCCGCCAATCTTGGTCAGCTTCTGTTCCGTAGCCTCGTGGGCTTTGCGCAGTTCCGTCTCTTCGGCAAGCGATTTATGCGTCATCTTGATCACCATCTCGGCCTCTTCGAGTAGGCCTTTTGTGCTGTCGAGCTGCGATCGTGTACCCTCGTGATCCTTCTTCAGTCCCATAAACGTAGCATTCAAGGAATACAACTCGTGTGTTTTATTACGCAGATTCGTCTCGAGCGTTTCGATTTTGGCGCCTTGCTCCTCTGCCACGATTCTTCGCGACTCGCTTTCCGCCGTCATCTCCTCGTACACTTCAGGAGGGAGGTGAACGCCATTTCGTTGTCTTGTCGAGATTAATTCGCTCTTGAGCTTCTCGATCTCGGCTGTGAATTCTTTGAGGAGCGTCTTCTTGGGCATGGCGTTGAGTTGTGGTTTATTTCGGATGTTCTTTGCGCGGAAAGCATATTCGAGCGTCGATATCGTTTCTTCTAGATTGCTTTTCGAAGGCGAGATGGTCGCGATAATGCAGGTTTTTGTGCGGCCACCGAGAGAATCTTGAAGTAGGCGCGTGAGCTTCGATTCTCGGTAAGGGATATGTGCGCTGCGGTCGACGAGGGCGTTTATGACACGACCAAGAGTCAGGAGCGATTTGTTGATGAGGCCGGCCTCGGCAGCACGCTTGTTCTCGGCACCGGAGCGCTGGATGTTTTCACTGCCGGCAAGGTCGACAAGGTTGAGCTTGCCGGCGCTGATGAGGTCTTCGGTGCCGTTTTCGTTAACCTTCTTCACGTACGCGCTTATCGTGAAGACGGTGTGACTTCGCGAACTGAGGTCGTTGCATTTGGTGGCGGCGACCTGGCGCTTCAAGCTGCCATCCTGCAGCACCTTGATGCCCTCGCTCGAGTCTTTGATGTGTTTTTCCTCCATGCCCTGCACCATAGTGCCGGCGTGGCCTTTTCGGGACGCGTCGTCGTAGATTTTCAGCTTGGCCGTCTCCTCCACGGAGAGCAGGTCGCGCAGCTCTTCGTTGTACAGCTCGATGAACGACACCTTAACGCAGTGCTCCCTGTTGTCAAGCTCCAGCGTCCTAAACAGCTGCTGGAGCACGCGGGGGATGATGCCGGCCTCGTCCGACAGCATGCCCAGCGTCTCCGTCATGTCGCCGGACATGGTGTACGTCTTTCCCGTGCCGGTTTGGCCGTAGGCGAATATGGTGCAGTTGTAGCCGGAGAGCATCTCGTCGAGGATGGGCCGGACCGTGTCGTCAAAGACCATCTCCTGGTCGGCGGCGGAGGAGAAGACGCGGTCAAACGCGTACGTCTTGTTGGTGAGGGCGTTGAGGCCGAGGGAGAGGTCGACCTGATTGCCCTTGACGCCGTCGGCCCTGACGACGACGGCGCTGTTCTCCTTGACCTCGCGCGCGCTGCGACCGCGGCAGCGGACCACGACGTTAATGTTGGTCTCCTCACCGCCAACGGTGCTCATGCGCGAGCCCGTGTCGAGCTCGTAATCGCGTTCTTTGCGTTTAGCGCCGCCGGCCATGCTGGATATGAGAGAGTCGGCGGGTGACGCTGCGCCGGCGCGCGTCGCCGCAACACCGTGTCGCGCCGTCGACGTCCTCGTCATTGTGTGACGCACGCTGCTGCTGGTACGGCTCGAGAAGCCAGATCGCACGCTCGAGCTCATGGCTGACCGGCTGAGCTCCCGGTCGGAGCGCTGTCGTAGGTGAGCCAGCTTGGATGGGGTTCTCTGGTTTGGTCCCGGATTGCGGCGCGTCCGGGACGCCGATGCGGAGGGTTGGATGGTGGGCGGGTGGCTGGTGATCGCGAAGAGCTGTCTTTGTTGTTTTCGTCGAGTTGAGCTCTGCGATGGCGTTTCAGGATAGTATGACTATGCTCACGCTGTTGACGATAGATTGATATTAACCCCCCCGGCATGCAAGGAGCAAATAAGCGTAGGTCGATCGGCGTGTGCGCTGGCGGGGAGGGGCTTTGTGCAGTGAGTAGGTAGCCGGTCATGGGTGTTGTGCTCTCTCTCGGCTTTTGGTTGCACCAAATTCATTTCATTTGTTTCTCTGCAGCACAACAGCCAATATTGACTAGCGCGGAGCCACTGGTGGGCATCAACAAGGACTAGTCTCGTTTCCACAGCAACCACTTTCGACAGGTTCACCAGCGAATGCGTTCCAGAAATCCAGCTTTCATCATTTCAACAGTAAGATCCTTTGAATTGATTGAATGTGATGGCTCTTGGATTTTCGATTTTTTTGGTCACCTTCCTTGAGTCTTTCATTCGCTCTGCCAAGTGCCGGAGTTGATGTCTCTTTAACAGAGCGCGTGACGCGCCCACAAAAGCTTCACACCAACTGTCGTACCATAGTTACCCTAGACTGGTGCATTTTGATGATACTCAGTGCTGTGATCTGTGGCATCTCAATGGTACTTAGTTCTGTGACCAGTCGTGGCTAGCACTGATAAATTGTCGACTGTACATTACTTCTTGGGATTTCGGGCGCTTACCTTGGATACTGTATCGGTTTCTAGATGAGATGTATCTGTATGCTCAATTATGGTGACTCTGCTCTTACGAAAATTTCCTTGGATATAAACATGTACGTATCATCACGCCACATCGCAGGCTGGACACTCGGCTCATATATACGTGTAATCAATTGCCTATGTTGCTAAAACCAAAAACCAAAATACTCCAATATTCCAATGCAAATGCAACACTTGTATCAGGGCACCGAGCTGAATCTCCAACCCTGGAGCAGTTCAGACTCTAAAATGACATGAGATGCAATATCTACTTTTCAAATGTCTCTGTAACGACCTTGGCATTCGCAGCGTCGTCGTCCTGATTTTGCCCCCTTTCCTCGGCCTTGAGTGTCTGTAGGCCGGTCTTGTGCTCCGTGTGCTTCTTTGACAGAGTGGTTTGCTTGATGAAGAAGCTGGCAAGGAATCCCAGGAAACAGCTGCATGTGAAGACGGCGAACATGATCTGGATCGAGTTCCAGTAGGCCGTCCTGACCGTCTGGCGATCGTCCACGGGCAGCGCCTTGATGCGGTCGACGTTGGACGCCGCCTCGGTGCCCGCGAACAGGCGGGCGACGTCGGCGCCCAGCTCGGCCACCAAGTGGCCCTGCTGGGCCTGCATCCGGTTGGAGATGACGACGCCACCCACGGCGACCGACGTGGCCGTGCAGAGCTGGCGCACGAACTGGAGGCTGGACGTGGCCGCGCCAATGTCCGCGGGGGCGACGTTGGCTTGCAGAGCGATGAGGGGCGCCTGGAAGTTGGGGCCGATGCCCAGGCCGGCGATCATCTGGAAGACGATGATGCGCTCCCAGTGGGCGCGGTCCCCGAGGAAGGTGAAGAGGCCGAAGCCGAGCGTCGAGCAGGCCAGGCCGCCGGTGATGACGATCTTGTACTTGCCGGTCTTGTTGATGAAGAAGCCGATAAAGGCGGACATGAGCGACATGACGGAGACGAACGGCAGCAGATAGACGCCGGAGAGGAGCGAGTTGGCGCCGAGGACGGACTGGAAGTAGAGCGGCAGGTAGTAGCTTCCGGAAATGAAGGTGAAGGCGTGAAGCGACGAGGTGACGTAGGTGGCGATGCTCGTGGTGGTGTTGAACAGGCGCGTGGGGATGACGGGGAACTTGGCGACGCGCGACTCGTAGACGAGGAACATGGCGATGGTGAGGGCGCCAAAGACCAGGAGGCAGATGACGGTGGCGGAGTTCCAGGGATAATGGCTGCCGCCGAACTCGAGGCCCATGAGCAGCATGATGGTGCCGCCGATGATGAGCACGTTGCCGACCCAGTCGATGGCCGCGAGCCCCGCGCGGACCGGCGTGCGCGGGTTGTGCAGCTTGAGGAAGAACAGCAGGATGAAGAAGGCGAGCCCGCCGCAGGGCAGGTTAATCCAGAAGCACCAGCGCCAAGACACGCGCTGCGTAAAGGCGCCGCCGATGATGGGCCCGATCGCCGAGGCCACCGCCCAGATCATGCCGAGGAAGCCAAAGTAGACGCCGCGGCGGCGGGCGGAGAAGAGGTCGGCCACGCAAATGTTGGGCAGCACGATGGTGCCGCCGCCGCCGATGCCCTGGAGGGCGCGGGCGGCGATGAGCATGCCCATGCTGGAGGCGACCGCGCACAGCAGCGAGCCGACCCAGAAGACGACGACGGCGGTCATGAGGATGGGCTTGCGGCCAAAGATGTCGGAAAGCTTGCCCCAGGTGGGCACGAGCGCGGCGCTGCCGAGCATGTAGGCGCTGCCGATCCAGACGTAGCCCGAGTTGGACTGGAAGTGGGCGGAGATGGTGGGCACGGCGGTGGTGACGATGGTCATGTCGAGGGCGGCGAGGAAGAGCGCGAGGCAGAGGGCGACCATGACGAGGGTGGTCTCGAGCCGGGTGCGCTGGGCCTCGGGCGGCGGCGGCGACGTGTTGTCGTTGTCGTCCTCCGGGCGGGCGGCGGCCTCGGTCTCTTCGGGAGTCTTTTCATCGGCGGTGCCGTTGTAGGGGGTGCTGGATGGCGAGGACGAGGGGGAGGGGGAGGGGGAGGATTTGTTGGCGGACGGCTCAGCAAGGTGTCGCTTCGTCTTGCCGGCGGCGTCGGTGTCTCGGGGTGAGGCGAGTGTGGTGGGCGTGTGCACCGGCGAAGCGCCGTATCCATGTTCGTCGTCGTCGCCGCGGATGGTGGCGCCGTCCACGCTGACCCGGAGATGAGATTTGGGCGGCATGTTTGCGACGGCGGCGGGAGCGGCCGAAATAACTCTGGTGGAAATCGAAAGGAAAAAGAGCCGGAAATAGTAAATCAATGACGCAAACAAGGCTTTGTGCTAGAGAGTCCTGTCTCAGCGTGTGTGTTGTGGGTGGTGGTTGCTTTTTACAGCAGCAAACGGGGGTGTGTGCCTTCGCTGTACAACAAACGAGAAGCGGACCAAGTTCACGTAGGGGAGAGAAGAAGGCTGCCAAAGTGTCCTCGCGCGCAACGGGAAAGAGGAGGACAATAGCAAATCATATACTATACGCTGGAGAAGAAATTGAAAAGAAGACAGAAGAAAAGACAAGAGTCAAGTGACTAGGTAGCATTGCCAAACGAGGTTGCGCCCTTGCTGGCTCCTGGGTAGCGTAGTGACTGACTTAAGTGCAGCACTGAGTGGATGCTCCGTGGAGCCTTTTTTTTTTTTTTTTTTTTTAACACTTGGCAGCAAGCAAGGACTCGGCCGCTAATAAAGTTGCTCTTTTCGCAGCTCAACTTCACGGGGGGTGGGATGTCCGACCGCCGGCGAGGAGGATTGTGGCTCCGTTTGGCGCTGCTTTGGCGTTGACTCTGAGACAAGGCCGTAAAGTTCTGGACTGTATAATATCAATGGTTATATCGACTGGCGTCGACAACGTGACTCTGCATCTACGCACGAAGCTCTCTCTGCTGATGAAAATGGAAGGGGGGATGAGCTGGCTGAAACGGACACTTCTAATTGATTGCCGTTGTCGAGTCTCAACCTTATTTCTCCTCGTCTCTCCCACCCTCAGATGACAGTCCCAGACTCCCAGGGGCAATTCCCAGCCGTAGAAACCCTGGCAGTTATTAGTGACAGCGGATGCTTGTGGGCCATCCATCGTCACGCAACGAACTCGCCCTGTGCCGTCACTCACTGTGGCTTCCCCCGGCCGTGTCCGTCACCATCATCTCTCTCTGCCCAGACCAAACTCCATGAAAAGCCTTCATCAACAGCCGAGACATCTCGGCCGGCCGGCCTCCTACCCGACCTGAAATCCCCAAACCCCCTCACTTCCCCTTTCCCTTTTTCTGTCTCTACGCGGCCTAGTCACTCCCCAGCGCCGACCACGGCCGGATCCAGTACCCACGTTCCCGTCGGATTTAAAGCCGGGCGCGAGGCGATGAGGCGCTGCTTTTTACCAGCTAATGCACAATGCAGCCTGCCCAATGTGGCAGTTCTGTCAACGCCACCGCGCCCTTTGTCACTTTTAACTTTAAATACTGGTCATGCCATACAACTCGCTTACACACAGCCAACCTTCTCATCGGATTTAGCGCTGGGCGCGAGGCGACGAGGCCCTACTCTTTACCTATTAGTTAGTTAATACATAATGCAGCCTACCTAATGTGGTAATTCTGGCACTGCTATCACCTCTTGTCACTTTTAACTTAAAATGCTAGTCATCCTATGCAACTCGCTTGCACACAGCCTTGGGCTTTGCAACTCGCTTGCACACAGCCTTGGCTTTGCAACTCGCTTGTACACAGCCTTGGCTTTGCCTTGCATACTTGCAAACATCATATACCCTGCTGGCATTTCATAGGGTGGATCAGCGATGCGACATAACTGAATCGTCGCCTCATATTGGTACGTATAGGTACTCGTGTATATCCGTATATCCGTACATCCCACGGGAATGCACCTTGCTGAGACTGTCTCCATCGAACGCAAGTCAGTTTGCTGAAACCAACAAATCCCAGCAAAGACGAAGAAAAAAGGCACAGGCGAATATATACCAATCTTCTATGCAGAGCGATACTGGAAGTTAAATGAACAAAAACCTGAACGCCAAGCACCGAGAACAAAACCCCGTTGATCCAAACAGCAACAATGGAGAATGCCGCTCAGGTCTATCCCCTTCCCTCACTCTTAGTCATCAAAAAATCGTCACAGTGTTAATATACCCATTCTTCAGCACCTCAAACACTAGCCCCGGGAACCCGTAAAGCGTCGTTGTCGAGTCGCTGTTCGTCTCCGCCCGCCGTGCACCGCTCTCCTCCCACCCACCCAGAAACTCGCAGCTACTGCCCGGGCTGTTGCCCCAGCCCCGATTAAGGACCATGCCGCGCTGTCTTGCCTGCTGCGTCGCGCCGCCGCCGCCGCCGCCGCTACCTATGAGACCGGCCTCCTCCCACGTCCGGCCCATCAGCGCCTCGATGTGCGCAAACTCCATCTCCGACGTCACCGCCTCCTCCTCCCGCCCGGGGTACATAATCTCCCACCGGCAACGTCTGTGGCGGTTGAACTCGTACGACCCGGGAATGTTCCCGTGGAGCACTACCTTGGTCACCACCAGCCGATCGGGGTGGTGCATCTTGACCGCGTTCTCATCTAGGGTCCCGTTTCGCGACTGCCCGGGCGGGGCCTTGGACGGAGCCGTCGGCCTGGAGAGCAGCACGTCGAAGCCCATGTAAAAGTAGTTGTAAAAGCATTCCCCTGAGGGATTTGCTGCGCTTTCCTCATCAATGGCTTCTTCATTGTCGGAATCATCTGAGCCGGTATGCATGGACGATTGATCCGTGTCGGTCATGGTCTCGTCTGCACGTCCTAGATTCGTGCTCTCGCTCCTGCCCCTCGAAGCACCAGCTACTCGTCCTTGGTGGACGTCCATTTTCTCATCATTCTTACGATATATGGCATTTGGAGGCCCCAGCTCCATGACTAGCTCTTGAGGAGTGGTCTGACCTAACTGGATGCAGAAGCTGTTGTTGGTCCACTTGCGAAAAAGTTGGAGTTTTCCTCCTCCGTAGATTCTAACCAAGGAGACCTCGTCGGGGTAGACGTCTTTGGTCCGTGGAAAAACGGTTGATGATTTGATACTAGGTAGGACTTCCGTCCATAGCGTGGGTCTCGCGTCGGCCCACGACTCCCCACTGAACACGGCCATGGACGTCGCGACCTGGCTTGATGAGGCCGATAGCAGCGATACGACGTCCTTGTCTGGAGAGTATGCCGAAGCCGTCATCGGAAAGTTGAAAGCCACTCCAGGATACGACAGCACGTAGATGCCCATGCACTGAGCGTTGTTTGACGAAGGAATGAACTCGCCGGCGTATGTTGGCCCGAGTAGGCGCTGGTAAATGTGTCGAAATGTCGGGCCGGAGGATGACTCGCCGGGGATGGGCGAGCCTGGGTCCGCGGTACTGTTCGGTAGTCGCACCAGGTCGCGGTCCTTGAACGTGATATGGTTCTTGGTAAAGTCGGTGACTTCGACGAGTCGTAGCCGCTGCTCGGGGCCGTCGAAACGCAGCCGCATGCCGTTTTGCGGAAGCAGGATGCAGACTGGCTCCTCAACGGGCCGTTCTGGCGAGTGCACGACGTGGATCTTGGGGAAGCGTTGCGGCTCGGCCTTGAGGCGCGTCAGGACATCGTGGAGGGAGGCGCCGAGAACTGGCTCGCAAGTCAGCCAACATGACGTGAAAATGGTAGAAGCTCAGTGTGCCAACCTAGAAAGCCCAGTGCCCGGCCGGGATGGAGTTGTGCGCTGAAAAGCGACATGCTGATCGAGGTCGCCTTGCCGCGCAAGCGGCTGTTTGGCGGGGTTGCTGTAGGGGAAGCTAGCTGGCTGGGCAGGGCAGCTTATCGAAGCCTCAGACGCGGGGTAGGGTGGTGCATCAACACGTCTGTTCGGCTGTTGGTGTTTGGTAAAGAATCGGGGTTGATGATGCGAAAGAGGAGAATCAAGTTGGATTCATAGCATGTGAAGGTGGAATGGGCTCTCGAGTGGATATGTCACGAGCTGCTGGAACCAGGCGACGCTATTCCCCTCCGTTCCAGGTGCTTGTGGCTTGTGCTTGTGAGAGTCACCGCATGACATCCGCTGTGGCGGCCACTGGCAGGATGCGCACATTGCCGGCTGTGATTGGCTGAGCGGCGTTGTGGTGGGGCGGTCTGAAGTGGAAGACGCTAACCGGAAAAGATCAGCCGGGTTCCCTCGCCTTCACCCGTTGTCCAAGTATGTTCAGCCTCAACCCAACCAACCATCACCCAACCATCAACCAACTATCAACCAACCATCACGACTCAATGGAGAAAGCCAAAGGAAAAAAATACATCCCACTCTCTTCAACTGCGGAGCCGTTGAACCCACCAGCTTTGTGCCCACATCAGTGCGTTGTCCGCAGTTACCTGGATGCGAGTCCCGCAAAGTCCGCCCCAACTCTACTAAAGACGGCAAGGACCCAACGCCAGCCCTAGCATCTCGTCCAGATCTGGGCAGCCACGGACTTTTTGCCCGTAATCAAGGTATAGAGGCGGGAGCCGTGGCAAAACCTTAACTGGAGCAAAAAAACAAAGGTGGCTCCAGCTTACCGTCGTGTTTCTCGGCTTTGATCTTGTCGACGTCGGAGCCCCAATACTAATCCTTGACAAGTTCTCGGTTCCGAAAGGCTTTTGGCCGCAACCAAAAACGAAGTCGAGTTCTCAGGTTCGCTTCATGGGTTGGTCAACATCTTCAATTGAACATGGTTATTCGAGCGACGGCGGCTGCAGCCTCATCGTGAGAAGCGCTTCGTCGCAACAATAACTAGAGCACACTGCCGCCGCAAATGGCCGGCTTTCGAAAAGAAGAAACTTGCATTTTATATAGAGGCCCTCCTTCGGCTGCTGCGTGCTTTATCCAATTCCGGCTCCGTTCCGATCCCAGCTTCCACATGCTGGACTGACTTCCGGATCGTCACCCCATCCCATCAAAGCAAGACATTGGCGCTCTCGCACAGAGCTTGATTAGACGACAAGCCGCCCTATCACACCTTCGATTACCAATTTCCGCGATGATGCCAGCCCCAACTCCGCATCAACATATTCGGTAAAAGCTTCCGCTGTACCAAGGTGGTTATATCAGTCTCCTTCACCGAAGCCAGCTCCGCTGGCCGCGTATGTGAACAGTGCATAATGCCATGCTTTTATAGCCGTCTTCACATGCTTTTATTTGTAAAAATTACCATATCACGTCACTTTTGCTTTTCTGTATAAGACGAATGATCTGCGCTGAATGCGGCTCTGCTGTCTAAATCAACGACACCCAATCAGTTCCTTGCCCATCATGGCAAAAGCTGGCCCCTCCAAAGAGAAGAATCCTTTCAAATCTGGCAGTGAAAGCGAGCAGTCTGACTCTCAAAGCGAGCACAGTCAAACTCCAAGCGACAATGAGTCTCCTGCTGCGGCCACAACCTCCAAGAAGGAATCAAAGGAGGAGACCAAAGGCGATGACGGGAAGAAGAACAAAGGCCACTTCAAAAAATATTGGAAATACTACGTCGTCGGAGTCGTTCTAGGACTTGCCATCCTTCTACCCCTCTTGTTGGTCAAACTCGCCAAGCGGAAATAATAGCCACTCGACTGACGGATTGCCCCATGCGCAGCTTCAAGGTCTTCATACCACTCATCATCGCCCGCTTCATCAACTCCCGCAACATCCTAGTCCAACATGCCTCCGTCTACATCCGAAGCTCCAGCGAGATCGATTTCGCCGCCAACGCGTCCGTCGCGTCGCCAATGGCCGCCAGGGTGGGCGACCTCGAGTTCACCCTGCACGACATGGCCGTGGAGCAGCCACCCACGGTGCTCACCGCTGACATCAAGGGTTTCGACATCCAAAAGGCGACCAAGATCGACATCCCCCAGGGAACGCTGCACGTCAACGACTCGGACGCGCTCATCGCCTGGGCGGACCGCTTCATCGACAGCGACAGCATCCCATTTGACGTGCGAGTCTCCGGCCTCGACGTCTTCCTCGGCCTGCTGCGCTACACCTTCAACCTCGCGCGGCCCATCACCATCAACGGCCTGCGCGGCCTCGCCGATATCACCCTCAACGACGTCGCCCTCGTGCTGCCGCCCGTCGACGACAAGAACGTGCGCGCCAACATCAGTTTCTCCAACCCGAGCTCGCTGAGCGTCAAGGTCGGCAACGTGACCGTCGACCTCGCCGTGAACGACCTCCACATCGGCCAGGCGCTGGCGTACGACGTCAGCCTGGTGCCGGGCACGACCAACGTGCACATCGACGGGCTGGTGGACATTCCGCTGATCCTGAACAACCTGGGCGCCATCATCCGCGGGCAGGCGGCGCAGCTGCAGGCGGGCTACGTTTCGCTAAAGCTGCAGGTGACGGGCTTCAACATGCACGGGGAGCAGATTGACTTCTTGGGGGCGCTGCTCCGCAAGAGAGTGCTGGTTGCCAAGGTACCGCTGGTGGCGCTGATCAACGGCGCCGGGACGAGCATCATCAAGAGCGGCCTGGTGGGCATGGGGATGGCGAACGGGACAACGATGGGCGGGACGACGCTGCTGGATGCCATTGGGGACGTGTTTTCTAACAAGACGCTGTTGGATCGGATACAAGGGCACTGGGCCCGAAAACGAGCCCGTGACCAATACAGATATACGCGCACTTAGTGATGAGGAGTCACATTTGAAAGAAGTATTGAAAATGAATTTGCATTACTAGACTCTAGCTACTTAATTCCAAAGAGTATCATAGCTCTTTTTACATGTTTTATCTTCTGCATCTTCACTACTAAAACTCATCGAAATTCTGTAGTCCGAACTTCTGACAACATTTGCGACATTTGCCCTCTCTTGTTTCGCCGGTTTAGAAAAGCTTTGAGTTTTAGAAACTCTATGGCAAAGAGGGGCCTTGCTCTCGAGGTTTCCTCCAAGAGCTCTACCATGGCAGGTGTAGTGGGCTTCCCCGCAAGCTGAGAATTGCAACGTGAGATCAAAAACGCGACGTAGTTCGGCGCCGCCTTGCGCGTCGATGTCGAACACGCTCGGAACTGATAGGAGCAGAGAGGTGGCATCTGCCTCTGCTTCGACCGACTTGTTGAATTTGCTCAAAGTGAGGGCGTGAAGAGCCGGAATCTGGTATCTATCGGCCAAGGCAACCATTCTTGCATGAAATCGAATGTCGGGGCTTTCTTTTCCCGTCGCGGGGGAGTCTTTGACTGGAGCTTCGTACGAGCCTGTGTACATGAGATCATTTGGGACACGCATGAAATGTAGCTGCCCTTGATCTCGTACACGCCATCGGCCTGTTCCTGAAAGTTGTTAATAGTCTGAGCGCGGCCGCATCGAGGGCGTTGCGAACCTTGAATGGACCTGCGAGAGCGGCTCGAAAGACAGGCGAGTGTGAACAGAGAACGATCCTGTGGACGCCAAACATCTCGAGCTCACAAAGGAGGTAAAGGTCAACGAGCCACCACATCAGCAAGATTTCTGTATTGTCAGTAGCTGGCGATATTTTTTTGCTTCAGGCTCGGCTTACTGGCGAAGATTTAATGCAAACTCTGGCGCCAGAGCCATTTTGACACGCTCAGGATCGCGTCGCGAGGCATGAAGGAGGAAGGAGACAGAAAGAAGGGATACGGAGCAGAAAAGCCGAAAGTTAAAGATTAGATGGAAAGCCCCCCCCCCAGGTCGGCGTGAGAAGCACGCGACGTTTGCACTTCATTCACTTCACCTCATTCACTTGAGTCAGGATTCACTTGGCTGGAGGAGGGAGCCTGAAAAACATGGAAGATTTTGCAAAATACCAAAAAATACCATAAAATACCATAAAATACCATAAAATTGAAATTCAAGCGCTAGGCACGACGTTGAAAAGCGTCCTTGGTGGACATAGTTAATTCGCAGTAACAACGAGGTGCCTGCCCTCGAATCAAATACGAAACTCTCGACACTACCTATGCAGACCTGATACAGACAAAATATTCAACTATTGCCAGTCTTTTTGCATTCGTAACATTTCCAACCCGTAACAGTGACCGCGGTAGGGCCACACTGACACCACCGCAAGGGATCCAGCCCTTCTTCCCAAAGCATCTCGAAAAGCCATGGAAAGAATTGAGGGCTCTTGAGCGCGACCGCCTCCAGCCCCGCCTTGGCATCGGGGGTAAAGGATATTGCTCCGATACGCGCCTTTACGGTTCCGCGCCAAAGCCTGCCGCAGCATCTTTGGCGGCTCTCCTTCCAGCGCGTACACCGCTGGCAGCGCCATGAAGACGCTCGCCACGTCGCTCCTCGACTTGGCGACTTTGTCCAACTTATTAAGTGCCAGGGTCTGCAGATCCTTGATTGCGTACTTGTCTGCAAACATGAAGACGTCTGCGTGGAACAGCAGAGACTTGGTGTCCCCCTCGGCGCCGTCCTATTGCTTAGGAGGCTCGTGGCTCGCAGTGTAGAGATAGTCAACTGCGGGCGGCCACGTTCTCGAAGGAAAAGTCCTTGACTTTGTAGAAGCCGTCTCGGTTTTCCTGCGGCACGGAGTCAGCGGCTTTTTCGTCTTCGCTTTTTCTCTTGCTTTGTGGTGGCCGGGGGTACCTTGAAGGGGCCGGCACAGGCGCGGCTCAGGATCGAGGATTGGATCGCGACGACGAGCTTGTGGACCTTGATTGCCTGACCTTGACACCGAATCTCGTAATCCACATGCTGGCCGCTCTTTCGGGCGCTTTTGAGGGAGTTAGAATAAGGGGGGAAAGATGCCGAGAGGGGTCAGTTGATACGTACTTGGCAAGCAGCTCACCAAACTTGGCGGGTAGAGACATTGCAGTTGCTCGGTTTGATGTTTTCTAGGGAGTAGGTTGTGAGTTGTGAATTGCAAGGCTGGGAATACTGAGGGAGAGAATTTTGTTGTTTTAATACAGTGTCTGTTTGTTGAAAGCTTCTCTGTTTGAAAGCTGCTCCGTTTGCTCCTCATTTCTCTTCACTTGCTCCGATGCCGCTCGTAGGCAAGCAGAACAACTACATCTAACAGAAAACCACAGTCTTGTTTTATCCTCCTTTTTAATTTGAAAAAACCAGATTTGCTGCCTGCAGTTGGATCATGGCATCCCCAGAGTGGAACGGAAATAACACCCAAAGGCATTCCCTGCAACTATGCTGTTTGCATCTTGAACAAACTCAACCTGTAGCCGCGCTGACGAAAGCACTTCTGCTTCAACCTGCGCGTCGACTTCGTTTCCATTGTTTCTTCAAATCTTGGACGACGTAGTCGAAGAAGAAATCGGGACACTTCAACTTGAGCAGTTCTAATCCGCGATCAGCATCGGAGCATCCACGAGCAGCGGGCTTGAAAACTTGAAGAGGGTAGAGCAGGTACTCTTTCAAGGTGCCGACCTCTTCCTGCCTTTTATACACCGAAATGATCACCTCGACGAGCTCCTCAATGTCTTTGATCGCGCGGACCTCGGCGGAGAACTTGCGGATGGCCAAAGTGCCAAGTCCGCTAACCTTGTACTTTTGCGCAAAACAATACATTTCCATGTGAAAACCAGCCGAGTCGCCGGAGCCCGCGCTCCCCGGTGCTCCGGGAGCCTCATACCGGCGACGGGAGAAGAACTCGATCGCCTTTTCCACGACATCACCTGAGAAGTCATGAATCTCGTAGAAATCTGGCTTCCTTTTCTGGACAAGAGCGTTAGCAGCGAGTAGTTTCGCTCTGCGGCGGCTTTCCCGGTATGCATACCTTCAAGTGGACTCTCAGAACCGGAGACTGGACTCCGACGATGGCCCTGTTAATCTTGAAGGTTCTCTGTCCACATTTGATCTGGTAATCGCAGAACTCTCCCTTATGCATAGCCCTTGCGAATTGTTAAAGTGATGGCAGAAAATAGCAAGACGAGAAACGTACAAGATAACCTTGAACGCGTAGTCAGGCATACCCCCCTTTTTGAGTCGATCTATTGCATCTTGTAGCGTTTGTTCTTTTTTGGTCAATTTCGTTGACTGAGGCTTCTCATGTGTTTCCGCTGGTGCCGCGCCAGGCCGCTGTAGTGTCGCAGATTTTGGAGGTACCACCGCTGGTAGCTGAGGAGTCTTCGGGGTGGCTGTTCCTGCCAATGGCTGGGGAGTCATGTGCGTGGTTTCTGTTCTCTTTGATCGAGAAACTTTCCGAATCTTTGCCAGATGCATAGCATCTTCTCCTGCTGGTGTCTCCAAAGGGCGTTTCGATGGCCGGTGCGTGGGGGCTTCTGTCGATGGTGTCTGGGGAGTCCGAGGCATGGCCGTTAATGCTTCGGGGTTCTGAGAAATGATACTTGTTCCCGCCAACATACGAGGAGTCTCGGAAGTAGTCATTGTTTTGTCCGAGGCCTGACGAATCTCGGGCGTGGCAGCTGTTTTGGACGCCTCGCGAGTCTGAGGCATGGTAGTTGGCTGCTATTCTCGCTGATGTCTGGTAAGTTATGAGTTCAAGCCTCGGAAGCTTTTGGCGAGGAAAGCTCTTTCTATTTATACATTATGAGTGTAAGAGTCCTTGCGTTGGCGCTCAACTGGATTCCCATTCATGGCACCCGCGCGGCTACCGTCAAGCGGGACACGGACAAGCTCACCATCGCAGCCCAGCGGACTCGGCACCTTCAACTAAACTGCAAGAAAAGATGAGTGATGTCACAATATGATTGAGACGTTCTGGAACTGTAGAGTGACGCTGCTGCTCTGTCTTCAGGGAATTTTATTGGTGGAAGGTGACAGTCAGACAAAGGGACAGGGTGCTCGAGTGATACCATGCTGCATTCGCGCGTATCAAATCCACAGTTTCGATATCATGAATCACATAATCCGTTTCAGGAAAATTTACTGAAAACAGAAAGCATCCTGATTGGTAGGAGACTTGCAGCGAAACTCTGGGTAGTCGCGGCTAATGAGCTACCTGAATGGCGGCTTTGTTTGGCATGACCGGTGTCCTCCTTGACTTTGTCTAAAAGAGACAAGGGATTAGATACATGCTACTTCAGTAGAAATTCTCTTGTTGCTAGTACGCCAGCAGCCTCAAAATAGTGACAGTGTCACCTCCGTGGCACAAGGCGGTAGTCTCCTTCCCCAGGTCGTACGCGACATGGGGCATTGTATGGCAACGCGTAAGCCAAATGAATAACAGGAAATCTTGGAAAATCAGAAATGAGTGATACTTACTACCTCTTTACTGAAACTGTACGTTGCACGTATGTAGGAGAAGGGTCTTGGTTGACTGAACTCGCCCTCAGCCAGACATAAACTTGCATCTTTGCAACTACTCAAGACCCTTGCCCAGCAGAGATAGCCAAAAATGACAGACACAACAGCCATCAACAGACAAACAAACTTGGAAAGACAGGCAAAAGTCGACATGGATGTAGGTCCTAGCAGCATCGTCCCTTGACCACTTTCTGAAAGACTAAACATTTATTTAGCACGTGAAACGCGACAAGCCATTAGAATCCTCTCAAGATCGCTCTAATACCAATCCCGAAGTCGAAGTCAATTTGGCGGACGTCGCCGGACTTGCCAAGTACCTTCAGTCCCTGCTCGAGAAGAAGATCTATAAGAAGGACGACCCGGAATTCCTCGAAATTATGGAGTGGTTCGGACGTCTCATGGACGCTGTCCGCGTCCTCGACAAATTCGCCGAGATCCCTCGGTCCGATCTTGATGAGAGCAAGCTCTATATAAGCACCTACCCGGAAATCCTTCAAAATGGAAACTGGAGCGTACTTGTTGAACGCGCCAAGAAAGCGGTTTACGAGGAAGACATGGCCACGGCAGGGAAGTACCTGCATCATTCACGCGAGATCGTGTCCTGCATCATCAACGGTAAGGAGAGGGCGTTCTCGGACCTGGGTTACGAAGAACTACGGAAAATCGTCGACGAAACCCTTGCCAAGATGGGGAAAAGAGCCAAAGAAGTCAAAGAATTGGAACAGTTCTATAGATTATCTAGGTTAGTCTTCCCGTTCGTTTTTTACTTTCCTTTCTCTTCTTCCCTTACCATCCCAACTGGAAATCTTCTTTGCTGGACTACGGCTAACACGCGAATCAGGAAACGTTCATCACGGTGATAATAGGCGTAGACCCAGCCACCGCAGACGCAGATTTCGGAGAGTTCCTGTCGGCCCATTTTGACCGACAATCTTATGATTACGGGGACCAAGACAACTGTGTTATCATGCAAATGGACGACAAGTAGATGGCGAATACGAGGACACTACTTGTGGAGGACGAAGCGGCAGAGACGGAAGTGAGATTGGCAGACGAATGTACGGGAGATGCTGCAGATTGCTTTTTTCCATTATCAGATGGAGACGGATAACTAGTTGCTTGATTTTTTTTTTTCGTAATCAGATTGACTCTTGATTTATTATTCAAGCACAACTATGAATGACCCTAAAACATTGCCCGCAGGTCATGAGAATGCACCAACAACGTCCAAATGTAGTCAACTTGATTCGATGGAAATAGCCTCGTCTTATATCCGCTATGTCCACCGTCGCAATGATTCATCCACCTTAACCGTCGCCCGTTGACTCATCTCATGGATGCTATTTAATTATTTTAACCCCCCTTAGGCCCTCCCCCCGCTCCCGCTAAGTTGCTGACTTACTTACACCCCATCCAACCGACCAACTCCCACTAGGCAGAAATAAAAGACAAGAGAAACCAATGTCGTCGCAGGAGAAACAGGTCTGGCTCATCACCGGGGCGTCCAGCGGCTTCGGCCTGCAACTCGCCCTCCGCGCCCTCGCCGCCGGGCAGCACGTCATCGGCACCGTCCGCAGCAGCGCCGGCCCCTCCGCCTCCGCCGTGCACCAGCTCACCTCCGCCGGCGGCCACGTCCTCGAGCTGGACATGACGCACCCGCAAGCCGCCATCCACGAGGTCGTGCGCGCCGCCGAGGAGGTCCACGGCCGTGTCGACGTGCTCGTCAACAACGCCGGCTACTCCATCCTCGGCGCCATCGAGCAATTCCGGCAAGCCCCCCATCCATCCCTCCCCTCCCATCAACTCGCTAACACCGACGCAGCGAGGAAGAGGTGGCGCTGCAGTACCGCACCAACGTCTACGGGCCGCTGTTCACCACCCAGGCCGTGCTGCCGGGTATGCGCGCTCGTCGCCGCGGCTGCGTCGTCAACGTGTCCAGCGCCGCGGGGCAGGACGCCGGCGCCGCGCGGGGTCTCTACGGCGGCAGCAAGTTCGCCCTCGAGGGGCTGACGGAGGCGCTGCGCGCCGAGGTCGCCGAGTTTGGCGTTGCGGTGCTGCTGGTCGAGCCGGGGCTCTTCCGGACCAACTTCTTCCGGGCGCTGCGCACGCCCGCGGCGCCGCTGCCGGAGGCCTACCGGGACGGCTCCGCGGTGAGCGGGGCGCTGGACGCGTTCGCGGCGCTGGCGGACGGCACGGGCGGCGGGGACCCAAGCAAGGCGGCGGACCGCATCTACGAGGTCGTCGCGGGGGAGGGGCTCGCGGGACACTTGAGGGGCAAGGTGCTGAGGCTGCCGCTGGGGATGGACGCCGTGGAGCGCGTGGAGGCGAAGCAGAGGAGTGTCCTGGCCGAGGTGGCCGAGGCGAGGAAGCTCGAGGAGCAGCAGAGCACGGCCTTGGCCAGCTAGTGGGTAGATGGATATATATGTGTGTGGTTGTGGTATATGTCTGCGTCTGGAATTATCTATACATGTATGGCGGGGTAAAAATAGTCCACACCCAAGGTTGGCAGATTATGATACACTGCACGATCGTATCGTATCGTGCTCCTTTCATATAGAGAAAAGCAAATCCGTACCTACCACTCCTCAATCTTGTCGCCCTTGCCTGGCTTCTGCATGCGCACAACCTTGTCCGTGTTCAGCAGGCACAGCGGGTCGAGGGCCTTCTTGATCTGTCGCATCGTGTCGACCGTCGTCACGCCGAGCTCATGCTCCAAGTAGTCCCTCTTAACCAGACCAACGCCATGCTCACCCTGACCGAGTGATTAGCTTTCTGAATGTTGACAGTCCCCTTATATCTTGCCACTTACCGTCACCGTGCCCTCCATCTCGACGGCGCGCTTCACCATGCGCTTCACCACCGTCTCTGCCTTTTTGCGCTGAGCATCGTTGTAGATGAGGATGGCTACGGAGCCTCTCGTTAGTCCCTATATTGTCCATCCATGCTTTTCCAGGGTTTCCCTCTTTCGAAAACTCACAGTGAAAGTTGCCGTCGCCGACGTGGCCGACAATTGAGCCCCGCAGACCACTCTTGCGCATGTCCTCCTTGGTCTCGTCGATCAGCTGCGGGAGGCTGCTCATCGGCACCGCCACGTCGCCCGTCCAGACGCGGTCGCCCGGCTTCATGACCGCCATGGTGCTCCAGAGGGCCTCCTTGCGCGCGCTCCACAGCTCGTCCTGCTCCTGCTCGCTGCGTGCAAACTCAAACGACCTCGCGCCCGCCGCGCGCGCCAGCGCCTGCACCGTCGCCACCTGCTCCTTGACGCCCGCGGGCGTGCCGGCGAACTTGAAGAAGAGCGTCGGCGCCTCGGCCCACGCGCGCGATGTGGTGCCCGCCTCGTTGATGAAGCGCATCTGCTCGTCGTCGAGCACCTCCACCGCGGCCACCGGCACGCCTGAGCCGACGACCCGCGCCACGCACCGCGCCGCGTGGCCGATGGTCGGGAAGGTGCCGACCGCGACGCTCGTCGACGCCGGCTTGACCGCGAGCTTGAGCGTCGCCTCGGTCACGAGACCGAGCGTGCCCTCGGAGCCGATGAAGAGCTTGGTGAGGTCGTAGCCGGCGGAGCTCTTGCGCGGCCGCTGGCGCGTCTTGATGACGGTGCCGTCGGCCAGCACCACCGTCAGGCTTAGCACCCACTCGCGCATCGTACCGTAGCGGTACGCGTTGGTGCCGCTGCAGCCCGTGCCGACCATGCCGCCGATCATGGCGCCGGGGCCCGGGTCCGGCGGGAAGAAGAGCCCGTCCGCGCCGAGCTCCTCATTGAGCCGCTCCCACCCGACCGCCGGCTGCACCACCACGTCCAGGTCGTCCTTGTGCAGCTGCAGAACCTTGTCCATGCGGCGGAAGTCGATAGACACGCCCTTGCGCGTCGGCGTGAAGTGGCCCTCGAGGCTGGTGCCCCCGCTGTAGCCGACGACGGGGATGCGTCGCAGAAGGCAGATCTTCATGATCTCCGACACCTCCTCGGTGGAGCTTGGGAAGACGACGCAAAACGGCCGCTCGTCGGGGTTGGGCCGGTGCGAGGACCAGTCGGCCGTCGCGTGCTGCTCGAGGTCGGCGGGAAGCGTGCTCACGTTGTCCTTGCCGAGGACGCGCACAAAGTCGGCCCAGGCGGCCTGCATGTTCTCGAGCTTGGTGTTGTGCCTGGGGATCTTGGACTTGGGCAGCGGCAGCGTCGAAGAGGGTTCGGGCTCGCGGGGCCAGTAGGTGCCCAACCAGTAAGCGATGCCGATGCTAGAGAGGAAGACTTGTTTGCGTCGTGGTTAGTGCGAGCGAGGGTCAGGGGGTCAGGGGGTAGAGTAATTCTCGTCCTCACAGAATGTGATCATCCAGTTCCTCGCGGGATCTGTCGTGTTGCGCCATTGTTCGTACTGCGCACGCTGCTCGCGCTCTCTCCGCAGACGCGCGCCGATGCTGCCCATGACCTGGCCCTGAAACGAGCGGCCCAGTTTGGCCGAGTTGCCCTCGCGCGGGGGCTTGGGGTGCTCCGGTTCGATTTGCATGCTGTACCAGCGCGCAATGATGATGGGCGAGCGGCAAGAAGCGCTGCTGCGCAGTTGCAGTTGTTGGCGGGCGTTTCGCAACGCAGCGCCGCCTCGTAGATGCGCCATCGTGACTGGGCCGGTGATGGTCGAAGGGATTTCCAAGGGGAAGAAAAGGGAGGAGAGGGGTAGCGCACCCCGGTCAACTTAAAAAGACACTCTCGATGGGTTAGACGATTGCCGAGCGCTGGCGGTTGGAAGGTATTGGGGTTCGAGATGTAGTTACGGATGAAAGGGAGCTTTTTTTTCTCCTTTGCTGATTTGCTGGGCTGCCAGAGTGGAGTGTGGGGTCCGGCCCGGACACAGACAGCAAGCTTCGGCGTTCCACCGCCGCCTATAGCCGCTCTTCGGTACTGGCGCGATTACGGGAAGGGAATATCCGTTCTTGGACGATGGCATTACTGCAAAATGAAAATAAAACATGCATTTTCATGGTGGATTTGAACCTGGATATGGCCTTGAGACGTGAGCGGCCGCGGGCTTCTACCACCGCCTATGGCTGCTTGGCACCACCAGCATCCGTATCGCATCCCAGGAGCATGGGTATGTAATAGATCAGCAATATTACTACAAAGCCAAGACAAGAGCCATCGCTAGCACATCTTCATTCATGGCTGGCCTATCCATGCTCCATGTAATTCTGTACAAGCGCTTCCTTGCCGCTTTCCTCTCAGAGGGGCAAGCCCGCCTCCCCCAACCCAAGCCAGCATATCGCATCCCTACTCAGGCCCCGCTGCTGCTATGTCCCCTTCCACACCAGCTGCACGTTGAACGTCGGCGACGCCCCCTGCGTATGCGCCAGGTACGCCGCCAGCTCCTGCTCCTGCTCGATCTGCAGCGGGAGCTCCCCGCCCTTACCATCCTTGATGACGCCCTCGACGCGCCCGCACGCCGCCCCCGGGAACCGCGCCACCGCCGCCTCCCGCAGCTCCTGCACCGACGGGTGCGCCCCCAGCGTCGCCACCCACAGTCCCGCGCCCGTCAGGAAGCTCGACGACGGGTGCAGCCGCAGGTACACGGCGCAGGCCGCCCCGCCGCGAGGCGTCGTCGTAGTCTGCTGATAGCCAGAGGCGGCGCCGGCGGAAGGGCTGCTCGCCACCGCGCCGACATCGTAAAAGGCTTGCGGCGACGGATGATGGTGGTGGCCCATGAACGCAGCCGCGGCGGCCGCCGCAGCTGCCGCTGTTGGGTTGCCCGGGCTGAGGAGCAGCGCGTGGGGACTCATGCCTGACGAGTCAAGCTGCATGGCCGCGCTCATGTGCTGCATGGCGTCGCTGCCGGGGCTGCCAAACGCCATCTGCGATACTTCTGATAAGTCGTCGAACGCGCTGCTCGCCAAGCTGCTCTCCGACATTTCTATTTGGTGGTGGTCGTGCGCGGCGCCGGCGGCGATGGAGGTGGTGGTGCTCGGGGAGGAGCTGTCCGCCGCCGTGGCTGCGCCGCCGCTCCCCGGCCGCGCCCCCTCCTGCCCGCCTGCCGCCGCGGCCAGCGACTGCCTCGAGCGCCGCTGGTCGCGCAGTCTCTTCATCACGTCGCTCGCGACCGTCTCGAGCGCGCGCAGCCGGGCCCGGGCCTCCTCCGTCCCCGAGTCGTCTCCGAGCACCCCGCGCACACGCGGCGACCGCCGCGCCCACTGCCGCTTGAGCCCCTCCCACTGCTGCGGCGTCGCGTCCGACTTGCTCGCCAGCCGCGCCTCGGACAGCACCGCGTGCAGCGCCGCCCGCATGTCCCGCGACTCGGCCGGGTTCACCCCCAGCACCGCCTTGGCCGCGCCCAGCGTCATGCGCGTCTCCAGCGTCCGCAGCCGCTTGGTCACGTCGGTGCAGATGACGTCCAGCGCGAGCTGCCGCTGATTGAGGCTGCTGCTGCTGCTGCTGCCGTGCGTCCCGGTGCCACCGGCACCCGCCCAGAGCATGCGCTGCAGTGCCGGCGAGCTGCCGACGAGACGTTGCTTGGCGGCGGCCCAGCGCTCAGGTCCCGCTTCCGTTTTGCGTGAGAGCGAGTCCTCGTGGCATATCTGCTGAAAGTTGGTCCGTAGCGTGCGATACGTGGCCGTGTCGAGGCTGAGAATATCGCGGGCTTCATCAATCGTCATTTCGGAAGGGAAGCGGTTGTTGCTACCGACCGTCGTCGACTGTGCATCCTGCCCACCCTGCCGTCCTCGACGTCGGGCCCGCCTCCCGGCGGCCGGTACCGTGGGCGCGCCGTTGCCGCTGTCACTATCCTGCATAATCATGTCACTTCCACCGTTAATGACAGCGGCGGCGGCGGAGTCGTTGTCGTCATCAGTGCCATCATCGTCGACATCGTCATCGTCCTCATCACCGTCGTGTGGCACCTCCGGCGGCGCATCCGTCGTCGCGTTAGGGACGCGGAGCAGCCATCTGTTCTTGGTACGCACCCGCACAAGCTCGCGCGGCTTAATGTCATAGCCGTCCTCCTCGTTGAGAATGCGTAGCATCTCCCGCTGCGAAAGGTTCTTCTCCCAGAGTTCCTTGATCCGGGCGACCAGGCGGTCATTCTTGTGGGCCGGCCGCTGCTTGGCTGGAAAGTTCCAGCGACGAAACTGCGTTTGAAAGGCTCGCTTGCTACAGAAGAAGGGACCTTCTCTGGAGTGAAGGGGAGGACAAAGCATTCACGTAATGTATGTACAGGCGTGAATTAGCTTGCTGCGTCTGGTTCCCCTCTCGCCCCAAAAAACGCCCCGTTGGTGTAAGTTGACGAAGAAAAAACAAATAGGAAAAAAATGAATAAAAAGGGTAGAGTGGCAACAGCAAAAGAGACTACCTACGGGCGAAGGGAAAGGGAACGGTTCAGAAGCAACACAACAAACAGGGCGCCGAGAGCCTCACTTATCCAATGCCGGGACTCATACAAAGTGGCCCGACGGCTCCAAAGGGCCGTATAGATGTTTGTCATAGTGAGATCTCTTCCCTCCCCCTCTTTGGGCTGACTGCGTGCGTGCCTCTCGGCGTGTGTGAGTCACTCACCTAGGGCAAAACGCGTGGGCTGTCTTTAGATGGTCCATAATGTCCTCGAGGGACCGGCCCTCTCGGATATAAAGCTGATAACATGTTTCTTGATGCGCGTCCCAGTCATAGACCATGATCCAGGGCAAGATGCATTGCCACCGCTTCGTCTTGCAGGGGAGATGTCTCTTGGGGCGTTGTTGATGAGATGGCACGTTTATTGGAGCCTCGTTCAGCGGGTGGAGATGATGTCCAGCGCAGGCCCGGCGGCATCATGCAATGGAGTTGGGGTAGCTTCTGTTTGCTCCGTACCGTGTGGATAACATAATGGACTGTATCGGGACACTGTGCACTTATACCCGGTTACCTGTGAAATGTGAAGAAGACAACAATGCACAACAGTGCACAACAAAGACGGCACGTCAGGCTTATTTCAAGACATTCATCTTGTCCACTAGCTCTGATAAGAAGCAACATACTTATTCGCCGGTCCTGGTACAAACTGGACGCATGCTCCCCCTAATCCAATCGCTGCGACAGTTGGCCCTTGCCGAACCTCGGCATTGGCAAGTACCTATCCGTCCGGGCCGCATCTGAGCTCCGCATCAAGCCAACCTCACATCCCACACACCTCAGACATACATTCAACAGTGTTTATTTTTACCTTGTCCCTCCTCACCCAGCCCAATACTCTGAGCTCGCAATTAGGCATCCTCATCCACCACACCCGATACCACACAACAACCCGCAACCATGGCCACGCCTACCCTCCCCGACAGCTACAACACGCTCTCGCTGCCCGAGATCAAGCTCTCGCACCACCCGGAGACCTCTCCTACCGTCACGCCCGTCATCATCGTGCGCCTCAACCGTCCCGAGTCGCGCCACGCCTACACCGACACCATGGGCGCCTCGCTCGTCACCGCCTACGGCCTGCTCTCCGCCGACCCGCGCGTGCGCGCCATCGTGCTCACCTCCGCCGACGCCTCCAACAAGTTCTTCTGCGCCGGCATGGACTTCAACGTGCGCGCCGCGCGCGTCGAGGACCCGCTGCTCTACCGCGACTCCGGCGGCACCGTGTCCATCGCCATGCACCGGTGCGCCAAGCCCATCGTCGCCGCCGTCAACGGCGCCGCCGTCGGCATCGGCATGACCATGACCCTGCCCGCCACCGTCCGCGTCGCCAGCAGCAAGGCCAAGTGCGGCTTCGTCTTCGCCCAGCGCGGCTTCTGCATGGAGGCCTGCAGCAGCTTCTTCCTGCCGAGGCTGGTCGGCACCTCCCGCGCCATGCACCTCGTCAGCACCGGCGCCGTCTACCCGGCCACCCACCGCCTGTTCGACGGCTTGTTCAGTGAGGTCGTGGAGCCGGAGGAGGTGCTGCCCACGGCGCTGCGCATCGCGGAGGGCATGGCGAGCAACTGCAGCGTCGTCTCGACCCAATTGATGAAGGAGATGATGTACCGCGGGCCCAAGTCGCCCGAGGAGGCCCACCTGCTCGAGAGTAAGCTCTTCTACAGCCTCACCTGCCCCGACACAGACTCGGCTGAGGGCGTCAAGAGCTTTCTGGAGAAGCGGCCGCCCAAGTTCACGGGTACCATAGAGAACCAGCGGCCTTTTGGGTACCCTTGGTGGTCGGAGCTTGATGTGCGCCCCAAGATTTAGACGGCATGTAGTTTTACTGGATATTATTGGCGGTGTTTAGAAGTGTATTACAATGGAGCAATACGATTTCGAGTCACAGGTACTTAAGAGTCATTTTTGAGAATCATCGTGTTTGCGGTTGTGTCTATCCCTTTCTCATCCGAAATCCTAAAATCCCGTAAACTCCTTGCTCAAGCGTGTGCGTGTGAGTGCCCATACAAGCGTAAAAAAAAAAACAGTCCAAAACAGATGGCGCTCCAATAGGCCAGCCTGAGAGGTGAAAGAAAATGCTAACCCCAGGATATATCATTCTCCATAAACGCCCGGCAAGCATCGCCTTGGAAAGGTACAAGGAATAAAAAAACGGAACGCTAACAAGAACAGAATGCAGAAAATAAGAATGGTATAATGGTAGGACGACATCGTGGTCGTCTTGTTTTACTCTTTTAAGAGTGGGACCATCAAGTACGGCAGTGTATGCCCATTGACGTTCTGTTATGCGACGTCCGGGTTGACAGTCGGACGAGGGTTGCTTTCTGCGCATCATGGCAGTGAGGGGCTGATAGCCACGAGGCAGTTCATCGAGATTAAGCGAGGTGAGGGTTCAAGGGGTGCTTGCGATAGGTTCATGCCATGATCTCGCAATGGCGAAAGGATGTCTCGGGATGGGCGTCTCCTAGTGTCTGCCCAGTCTAAGTAGCCGTGTTCTGAACCAGAGCATAAACGCCGTCCAGGCGCCGTTGGTCTTGTGCTTGGCCGTCTTGCGACGCTTGGGTCGCTGAAAGTGGACTTCATCGGCAGTCACCGGTGTCTTGCCAGCAGAAAGGTTGTGGTAGGCACCAGTCGTTGCAAAGTCGGGCTTCTCGTCGCTGGCGGTTGAGGTAGAACCAATTGTGTTCTTGCGAATCTTGGCACGGTCACGGCTGTTGGCACGGTCACGCCGGCGCAGCTGCTTCTGGGCATATTTTTCGTCCTTCATCTTTTCCCTATCTTGAAACTTGCGACGGGCATCACGGACCTGCTCCTGATGAGTTCGGGTGTCGACATCGCTGCGAGAGCGCAGACGGAAGCCGCTTAAGTCGAGAGAGTTGCGCAGGGGCGACAGGGGTGAAGCTGAGGTAGGCGTTCCCGAAGAGGCCATAAGGAGGGGAGCTGTGGGGGATTCTTGAGTAGCGAACTCGGACTTGAACACAGCCGTGGGACCCGAGTTGGAGCGGGCGGTGGGCATCAGCCTAGACGCCCGGGTGCCGTCGGCAAGAACTAGGTAAGGGCGAGAGTCGCGAGCGTCGCGAGGTTCGTCGATTGAGGTTCCACGAAGGAGCGGGCCGAGGGCATAGGGCTGAAGCGGCGGCGAAGTAGTCGATCTGGTTAGAGAAGTTGCGCGCGGGCGGGAATCGGTGGGTGAGATTAGGTCGTCGTCGTGCTCAGTGATGGTGGAGGCACAGTCGCGGGGGCCAGGTCCGGATGTGTCAAGGGAAGCAAAGGAATTGGCATATGACAGAGAGGGTGTAGCCGTCCTGGGAGTCTGCTGGCAAGGGTGGACAAATGTTCCGTTGCGGGCGCTGACGCTCGTAGCAATGGACGAGGCGTGCGACGAAGTACCACTAGTCGAGCGCATATGGGAAGAGTACCTGTTCTTAGATCGCCAAGTCGGGTACTCAACAGATGGCGATGTCGAAAAGCTCACGTCTCGGGGTCTGGAGGCGTCGACGTGGGGGATAGAAGGAGCCGAAGCGTCGCAGGCAGCAGCGGCGTCAGGGAAGAGGTTGTCATAGTCAGCTGAGGGGCGGGTGAGGGGGGAGGGTTGGTCATCCCAGCCGGGGTCGAAATCGAAGGAGCCTCTGTCGGAGTTGGAATGGGAGCTGAGCTTCTTCAGGATAGGCTTGACGATGGCGCGTCCACGGTTCTTAGAGCGGGTCGAGTCGCTGCGGGAAAGCGCAGGCGCAGGTTTTTGTTGCGAGAGGGAGGCCATTATGGGCATGGTGCTGATCTGCGTGCGGCGGATGTGGTGGTGGTGGTGGTGGTGGTATTTGTGGTGGTATTTGTGGTGGTATTTGTGGTGGTATTGGCGGCAGTAGTGTTTTTACTGGCGGTGATGTATTGCTGCTACTACCGGGCTTGGACGCTGGTCGTGATGGCAAACGAACACCGGAGCCGGCAGTAGCAAGGCGAGAAAAGTCGGGTGTCGATGGGAGCAGATGAGTCTCAAATAGATGTCATGGCAAGATCGAGTAACACGAAAATCTGCGAAGTAAAAATACTCTGGCGGGTAGAAGAGCAAAGAGTATTTATAAAAAGAAAACAACAAGTGGCGAGCCGAAGCAAGCGAAAGAGCTGGGAAGAGGAGGCGGAGGAGGAGAGGTGGGAGGGTGGGCAACAAGCGTTTGTTGTTATCGCTGCAGGTGGGCGATGCGATGCGGTGTGGTTGCAATGCCTGCAGTGGGTGGTGCAGTGGGTGGTGCAGTGGGTGCAGGACGAGTGGATAGGTGGGCGACAGGTTGGTCACTGCAGAAACGGTAAGAGGAGCAAGCAGAGGTCGAGTAACTCGAGGCAAGCCAGAGGTGGTAGTGCAGAGTGAAGATGGAGGAGGGGAAGAAGAAGAACAAGAACAAGAAGAGGCAAAGGAGGAAAAGAGAAACGGAGGAGATGGCGCTGAATAGAAATGCAACAGTAAGAAAGTAACAAGCTTCAGGAGGCGAAAGTGTTCTCAGGCGGGAGACGGGCTGAGGAAGCGAGACAACCTAAGCAAAGTAAATTTGGGTGGAGGAAGTTGGAGAGACAAATTTTGAGAAAAGGCAGAACGGGGAATCCAAGATTGAAACAAAGAGGGGCACAGCCGGGGGAGGATGTGGGAGAATGGGGCCTGAGAACCACGATACTGAACTACTGATATCAGTGGTATCATTGGTTTCATTATTGTTTCCTCGGGCGGCGCCTACCTGTACAAGGTTCGTTATTAGAGGTACTAACCTATTTGGTGGGTGTACATAGTTGGTGGGCGGAGCTGAGGCTAGTTACTGGTAAGCTCAGGGTCTGTCTTCATCATTTTAGTGGCCATTGTCCACTGGACCCGGGGCATGCTAAAATGCCGCTTTCCACTGCCCAGGCTTTGCCATTAGCTCTCATTTGCCCAGCCCAGACAACCGGATTCCCAGGAGTCCGGGACGGACGGTATCCATTGTAACATTGTCATTATTATATTACAGTACAGATTAATGCCGGATGCCTCGGACAACCCACGAATGGCCACGAATGGCCACGAATGGCAGAAATACTGAAATACTCAACTTGAGCACCGGTCAACGTGATGAGCATACGAATCCTGCTCGCGATTCTGACACGGAAAATACCATGTTCGTACCTATCTTACGAAGTCGAGACATTAATAAAGACACCATGTACGCGTCTACACGCCCACACACGCGGGCTCAGCCGTCCTCCTAGCCTTTCCTAGTCGTGCTAGTGGTGGCAAAGTCCGTGGCGCTGCTCGGTACCAGAACCCATCAATGATGCCTCGTTAGCGATGTATGTATGTATGTACTAGGTAGCTAACGTGGCAGGCTGCAGCCTTTTAAGAAACGAATCTAATAATATCTATAAATAAGTAATAAATCACTGTTCATCGCATCTCGAAGATTTCGCATCAAAATTCGTACCTCTATCCGTATTCCGTGCCACGGTGACCACTTCTCTTTCATCTCAATAGCCAACTAGCAATTTCCCTATCCCCTTGCCCCATCCACTCACTATTCGTCTTCAAAAGTCTAACGCGACCTCGATCCTGGCATCCCAGCGCGTCAAGGCATTTCTCCAATTTCTGACAGCCGTTAGCTAATTTTAATAATGTACTTGGGACCATCTCCACCCATTGCAATCCATTGCCTTGCCTGCCTGCATTTTCAATCCCGCCCTCTTCATCAACATACGCAGTCTCTCCCACACACATGCAACATCATACGCGTTGCACAACGTCAGCCAAAAGCATCCTCTGACTGGCCTCTTTGCTATGAATCCCGACTTTTGTCTTGCCTCGCCTCTACTCAGAAACACCACGTGCGAAGCTCCCCGCTTTCTGTGCCACACTCTGTTGCTGCGCCGCCTTATTATTAGCAGGTGCTGCAGCCACAGTCAGCGTTTTGCCATTCTCCCCCGCTTCTTTGCTTCCCTTTCACGGTGCACCGACTCGACAAACTCAACAAGGCATATCCGTACATGTTTCTGACTCTTGTCCAACGTAAATGTGCAATCATTTGCTCGACGACAGAAACGCCGTTCCGATGCCGCGTCATCTACAAGGGTAAAAAGAGAGTTTGCTTTTTCCACTCGCTCGTTAGTCAGCTGCAGCGAGCGGCGGCATGAGCGAAATACAGATCAAGTTATGCATTCTTATCACGGTCCGCGCCCCATGAAGCGACACCAAATAGGCTCTATACTCATAGCTCGGGCGCATTTGAACCTCAGGGCCGAACTCTGTCCCGTCCTATCATCGCTAGTTATGGGGCAACCAGCCCAGGCCTGGTGGCGCCATGGCACGGCCAAGCTGAACCGGCAAAGCCTCGTCGCCTTGTCCGTGGGGTTGACGACATTTGCGATGCTTCGGACCATCTCTATTTGCAGTATCCCGCCGCCGCCACCGGATCTTCAGTCACATTTTCAGCGTCCCCAGCACGAGCACCGCCGCCGTCGCGCATCACCATCGCCCACTCAGGCCCTGCAACCACCCTGGCCTGCCTGCAGCATGCAATGCGCGTTGACATAGCAGATGATCAGCGCAAAAAAAAAAAAAAAGGGGGGGGGGAATATGGGAAACTGTTCAAGTTTGGTGTGCTGTGCAGCATCAGCTCTTCCTGGCTGCCATCACCCACAAACCCCTCACCCGGAACGCCCGGTGCTGCTGACGGACAAGACGCTTACAATGGCACAGTGACATGTTGCGCCCCTCTTGCTTGCACAAGCCCATCTTGCGATAAATTATAAGCCGGCGGGATTGGTCAAGGTAAAAAAGGAAGGCCGACGAAAAATAATAGTCGCACACGCTACCCTTGAAACACAGCTCAACCTGCTCATGTTGGACTTGAACAATGCAAGTCTATTGGCGAACCTCGTCAGTGCAACCCTCTGATTCAGCAGACAACGCAACTTTGGACAAGTCATAACTATAGATAACATCGATATAGAAACGCCGCCTGTCGCAGCAAGTCCAACACCTCGTCAACGGCCGCCCACTGCAAAAACAACTCGGGTCAAGCAAGGTTCGGCTTCTCCTTCGGCGTCGCCATCTTGGCGCTCCATCGCAACTTTCAACTGCTAGTTACCCATCTTGGGCGACCTCACCGGCACGTGCCCCTTCCTTCAGCCCGTTTTGCCGTGCTACCCGCCCCATGTGTGCGGGGAGATAGACAGACTTTGTCTATGTACTTGTTTTCAATAGCATAGCGCAGCCCATTGCCCGCGCGACTCATTCCTCTCTTTACCCCAAGCCAACACGCGAGACAAAAAGGGCCGCAGCTAGCGTCGGTCGAAGACTGTAGTTAAGAGAAAGTCCATCGGCCATGGTCAATGGAGCAGATGATAAACGAGTCCCTTCCCTGCGCCTACCATTGGCCAGGCCGCTGCCTAGACAAAGCCTCGTCCCTCGTCGGCCTCGTGCTAACCCGGCTGCAGTTGGCTAAACAGGTCACCCTCTTGGTTTGCACCTTCGCATGTGGCAGCAAGCCCAAACCTGCAGATGCACAACATCCACAGCCACGTTACAAGCGGAAGCTGCTCGGCCCTTTATTATTAGCGGCTCGTTAATATCCTTCCTCTTTGGATTCTGGCCCCAGTTCCCCGAAACTCAAATCCGGGAGGCAGCCGGCCTGACTAGCATTGACGTAACCAGCCTGGGGCACACTGGGGAATCTGATCCGCCCACAGCAATAACCACTTCGCCTTGACAGCTCAGGGATGTTCCAAGTCAAGCAGGTCATTCCTACATAGCCATTTACAATGTCGAACTGTCCCATGTTGGCTCGATCAGCCTTTCACGTGTCGGAAACGTCCGAATTCAACCCTTCCAAAACAGGCACGCCTTTCTGCAATGACATCACAAGGGTCTCTCTAGGTTTTATAGGCCTCAGATAAACGGGCCAATGTAACTGCGGTACAAGCGGCTCTTTTAGATCTCGTGCTAGCGCCCTCTGCCGGCCCTTCCCGAGACAGTGACGTCGTCAAAACATGATTCTTTGCGTAGAAAGTTCCGGCCTGTCAAAGGGCTCAGTCAGTCAAAACTTGGGCCTTGTCACTATCATACATATGAACAAGCTACCATCACGGAATTGCAGCCAAGGCTTGTTCCGTAGGAAGAGCGTTCGTGTTGGTCGAGACTCGCCTCATCAGCGACTTCAAGTCTCGCGCTGCGTCTTATTTGCAACCATTGGTAGTTATCACTGGTGTCGAAAAGAGATATTCTATCAAGTTTGGCGGCAGAAAATGGATCCCTTGACCGGTTGTCAAGCCGCTCAACTTCCAGTATCCCGCCGGCTCTTGGCGATGGCTACATAGGAGGAGAACTGATCGCGACCGCTTCACTCAGGGCCGTTTCAGAAGCCCCGCGGAAGTGAAGGACGCAATCAATTTAGAAAAGCATTTTTCTCTTTCAAATTTCTTTATTTTGATCCCCTCCTCCCCGTCTTACTTGGCTCGTCTCTCGTTCTTGCTGTCTTTGCTAGATGTTTCGAGCGGCCTCGGTGACAGCACGTTGGGCACACGCTTGACAACAAATCACTGCATCTCAAAGCATTCAGAGAACCGGATAATACCTTGCATAAGAATAGGAGTCAATTAGTAGCTCACTCCCAAGAAAAGAATTCGTTCCTAGATATTTTCGAGCGCGTTCCATGGACCAATGCTCTCGCAGGATCTATAAGACCAGCCGGCGCAATTTCAGGCAAGGCAGAAGCTCACATACTCGTGCAGCATCCTCACGCAATG